TCCTTCCTAATGTTCAATCTAAACCTCCCCTGTTGGAGCTTGAAGCCGTTCCCTCTCGTTCTATTGTTAATTACCTGTGAGAAGAGACCTCTCTACAGTGTCCTTTCACGTAGTTGTAGAGCTGTAGTTCTTTATAGGAGAAGACATAACCTGTCTTCTCCTATAAAGACCCTTTTGCCTCATCAAGAACTGACAAAGACAACACTAACAGTTGAAAAGTCTCTGTTTCTAGGAAGTTATACTGGGTAGGAAGCTGTGGCACGGTCCTGAAGTCATCAAGCTAATGCTGAGGAGGTGCTCAGAGGGTGCAACACTTACGAACTCTTTGTATGTCTCAGCAGCCAGGAGGTGAAGGTGCTGAGCCCTCAGCACGGCGTTGGCAAACAGGTTGGAAAGGGGCATGGCCGGGAAGGTGGCAGCTTCCTGTGGCCACTGCAGCCCCAGAGTGATCACAGCAACGAGGAGAGGAGAAAACCATGACCCTGCAGCAAAGGGGAGAGGAAAGGTGTTAGCAGTCCCTTAGTGACCCTGCTGAGGATGGAGGTGGCATCGGAGAATGAATTCCCAGCCTCTCCTGTCCGTGCTGGCTGAGGGATCACCTTCCTGAATGTCTTGTTTGACTCCGTGGGTGAGTTTAACCCTCCCCAAAATCAAAAGAAGCCTTGTCCCCTGTCACTAGATGTGCCCTTGAGGCTTGTGCTGCTCCCAGTGTTGTCATCAGTGTCTTCCTGGCTGAAGTCATTGTTCCTCCATGGAAACTAGAGTGTGTCCCTATGTTTTTTCCCTAACATGCTCGTGTTTTTCTGTGAGCCTTGCCCTTGTGAGGAGAGCACACTGTGTGAGCAAGCAGGGGATGGTGAGTCCCAGGTGAGGGGCTGGGAGCAGCTCACTTTAGCCTTGGTTTACTCCATAACCTCAAACCTCCTGTTTGCTTCCTAGGACAAGAGCTGGTGACATGACCGGTGCTGTGACCTGCTGCTTTTTCTCTCTGGGATATACCTGTAGAATTTGGTGATTTCTGTCAAGCCTAAAGTTTTTCTACCCGTGACTCACACAAGTTTCCATCTGTGTCCAGAGACCACGAAGTTAATCTCAGACAAATAAATACCTTCCCGTGGAGGAATGCCCTGGAGCCTGTAGGACTTGGATGCGTGCATTAGACATCATCCTCATCCCCTTAAGCTTTGAATATGAGTTTTAATATCTCTACTAACATTTATGTTAATAATAACTGTTAAAACTGTGGCTTGAGCTTCTTCTTCATTTTCTCCACCCTCTCCTTGCCCGGTTTAGGCTAAAGACTACATAAATTCAGTCCCGCTGTACGGAGAGGTATTAGTTTTCATTGATTTAGAAGTTGCCACATTTTAATTTTGGGCTGGCACTGTGTATAGCCCACCTCAGTCCCACCCCATCATCATCTCCCATCGCTCAAAGCCCTGGCAATCCTCTAAAAGTGAAATTAAGAAAAGTACCTGGAGCCATTTCTGCCCGGTGCGTTGCTCAGGTGTTGCTTGAGAGTGAAGGTTTCCTCCTTTCATCTAGGCTGGTAAAGGTAACTGTTGAGCCACCCCTTATATAGCAGGGGGTCTGTTTAAAATGTATATATGTGTTCACGATCACAACAACATCTCTATATCTTCCCCGTGCATAAATGCACAAGTGTTCGCAATGGTGCGACCTAATCGTAGTCCTTCATACATAGATGTAAAGGTTGGGGAGGTTGTTTGCCTGGGGATGAAATCGGTGCTGAATGATTTCGCCATATTCTGCTGTTTATTGCAAATAGGGATTTTATCGTGGTTGGAAGACCCATCCCAAATCTGATCGGTGCTTTTACATGGTGGAATTTGCCCCAGAAGGTTGAAAATCCACCTGATTTTCCTGCCTGGCTCTACAGGGCAGGCTGACCAGTTGGGGAGACTTCTAACAAGCGGGATGTTTCCCCCTTTATTGTTGGCAGCGCCAGAGCTGGATGGATGTTGTTGGATGACAAGTCATTTCTTTCATGCTACTGGAATTTCCAAAGTTCAGCCACTAGTTTTGGTGGGCTGGTTTGACCAGGAGCTGTCATACCCAGGTGTGTGTTTGGGGACCAACCTGCCCACCCCACGTCCCGGGTGCCATCTGGGAGGTTTCTCCCAGCCTCAGCTGGACAAGGCTATGAGAAGATTTGGTTATGAGAGTCTTCCTCCTCTTGCCTGAGCTATGAACGTGAAATATCTCAATTTAAGCAGAGGGCTGGTGTGGAAAGAAGGTGTTGGAGATGGGGAAGAGGAGATGGGGAAGAGCCGAGGTCACAGCACACCTATCCCCACTTTTGAGCAAAACAAGACAGAACCTGCGATAGGCAACTTCAGGGGAGGCTTAAAGGACTTTTACCCCTCATAAGGCACCGATTGCCCCAAACCACCCTGTTTTAGCCCTTTGTCCAGGGTTTGGGGACTGCTCCCTGGCTGGGGGTGGTGGTTTGGCTGCCCTGAGCCCCGGATTTTCCATGGCTGTGGTTTCTGAGAGGCAGCGTCGTCAGCGGGGCGGCTGGAGCTGAGGGTGCAAGAGCTGGTTAATAAACATGCCGGGGAGAGCGCGGTCTTATTCTGAGAAGCCCCCGGGGTGTTTGCTTGCTGGAAATGTGGTGGTGTCACAGAGTAAATGTCAGTCCCTAGAGAAGAGGGAACAGTGGGTCCCGCAGCTATCAGGTATCCCGTCACCCAATAGCCAGCAACATCTGGGTGTGTTTTTCTACTCCAAATCATGTTTAAAGATGTCAATAATTGTCAGAGATGAGCAGAGCCACAGGCACACCCCCAGCCCAGGCTCTGCTGCCTGGGAATGGTGATGCTTGACTGGTACAGCACCTTGCACCCAAGTCCTGCCCATCTCCTGATGCCTCTGGAGCTCTCTTAGTGAAAGCACGGTGCTAAACCAACATTTTCTTTCTGTTTCAGCCAGGCACGGGGATGCCAGGACGATGCAGGCTGCGCGATGCCCCTGAGGCTTGGTTTGTCCCCGTTTTTGAGGCAGAAGCGTGGCGGCGAAGGCTGGGCTGGGCACACACACCCCGCTGGCACAACCACGGTTGCATAAGCAGCTCCCAGACATCAGCTCGACATTTTTCTAGCTTCCAAATGCCTGTCTTGGTCACCCGAAGTAGCACCTCATAAAGCAGCGTGACGCCGTGGAATTTCCAAATTCCTTGTCTTTTCTGAAAGAGAATAAAAAAACCCCTCAGTTCTCTTCAGGGTGGTCTCGTGTCCCCCTGCCTCACCCTGAGCATCACCAGCGGCATCTCAACAAATGAAGCCACTTTCCCAGCCCCTCCTGCCCCCTGAGCTGTGGTGCTTGTGTGGAGAAGACCTTGGAGAAGACCTTGGAGCTGTGAGCAGTGAATCCTGCCCCAGGGGCCAGCTGCTGGCCCACAGCCCCGGCGCTGCACTTCGGTGGGCGACGGCGTGGCCGACAGAGCTTCTCCGTGACGGTTGACTACCTCTGCTAGCTCTCAACTCAGATGGTAAATATTCCTTTTTCAGATTGAACTGATGGGTTTTACTTACTGGAACCAGAACTGCTCGGTTTCACTTGGATCCATTTCTAAAGATGAGGCTGACGAGGTCCAGGGCTGCGACCTGGCTGCCATCCTGCTGATGGGCAGGGATACAAATCGGGACAAAAATACTGGATAGACCCAAATATATTTATTTACATGAAATGCGTTTTAAATGCCACCCCATCTCAGTATAAAATGACAACAAACCCCGTCACTAGGCTCCCTAGAAAGTACTCGAAGCATTTAAAATGAACCACTAACGCTACAGAAATATTTATTTGCTTCTGGCATTTTAAAGGAAGCCAAAGCCCCGGGCTGAGAGTTGTAGCCGAGCGATGGAGCGGAACCGGGGTCGCCGAAACTGCTTTTGACATCGGTGGCTTCCTCTCCAGGTGCGAAGAGCAGATTCTCCTCAATTTTGGTGCCTTTCGGTTAAAGCAGTTGTTGAGCGAGTTGTTTACGCGGGGCTGAGGTAGCGGTTGGGAACTGGGAAGGCCCAGAAAATGTGCCTTCCTCTTCCATTTCGTAACCGAAAACAAGGGGTGGAGGGATGAGCTCTGCTGGGCCCGAAACCTTGGCAAACACGGGAACCGGGAACAGCCGGTTCGCTTCTCTCTCTGTGAATGTTCCTTTCTTTAATTAACCCATTTTATAAGTAAAACATGTTTAAGTAACATTTATATACATGTGCGTGCAACTAATTTGGGGTAGTTTTATTTAACTAGTAAAAATCAACCTGAAAATGCTGGTTTTGTGCTGTTTAGATCGAATTCCAGTTTTCCGTGAAGGTGGTTTGCCACTAAACAAGAACCATCCTGTTCCCTGCTGAAAAGCCCTGTTTGCTCGTGATTTTACCCTCCCTTTTCTGCCGGGGGTTTGGGAAGCAGCGCGGTCCTGTCCTCTCCTCGGGGTCCAAAATGTCATGAGCCACGGGGACGCGGGGGTCCCTGGCTCTCCGAGGGGGCCCCGACTTTCAGCCCCACTGTCCTCGTCACCCCCTTGTCGTGCCTCATCCAGCCAACCCCACCGTGTCTCTCCAGATCCCCCAACCACCCCTAAGCCCCACACAGCTGCTTCCCCGTCAAGATGTTTTTTTATTCACAAAACCAGATGGTTTTTAGCTTCTCTTGCAAGAGCAGATGTAGCCGGGAGAGGAGTTCCTGGCTCTGGGCCCTCTTCTTCTGTTTTGGTTCCTGGTGATGGTCTTTGTCCCTCATCCCAAGCTGACATCTTGGGACTGTGGAGGTCTCCCCAGTGCGTGGTGAGAACTTCCAGGAGAGCCCCACGTCTGCTCTTGGCTTTTTGCTCGGAGGCCTGATGAGGTGAAGTTTGTTTTCTAGCGAAGATGGACCCGTGAAGAGCTGCTCCTTATTTTCAGGCATCCATCCTGCCAATCCTGGCCCCAGGGTGATGGGACACCCCTGGACCGGGCACGTCAGGACAGAACAGGATGTGAATTTACCCATTACCTTTATTAGGGCTTGAAAAAGCAGATGGACATTTGCGTCCCACGATTTACATCCTTCCCATATGTTCTGAGATGGGACATGTCCTTCAGCAAGGGGATGTCCTCATGACACGGGCCGGCTCTAGCTTAGAGTGGAGCAAGACTTGTGCAAGACCTTCCGAGTGAGAGCTGTCTCCCCAGCTTTTCCTGGAGTCTTTGGGGAGAAAGAGGTGCTTTTGGAGGATCCTCCATCTCAGACAACTGCCAGCTTGGCCTGCTGGACACGTCCACGGCTTGAGAGCTAAAGACTGGCCCAAAATCCACTTTATGCAACACCCACATGGTGTTGCTCATCTTGGCTCTTCTGCCTGGACTGCAGCGGGGTCTTGCAGCCCAAGGAGGGTCCTTGCAGCATGGGGAGTGATCATGCCTGGTCCTCTCCTTCCCAGGGATGGTGGGGCTGGAGGAGACCTACCACCCACACTGGTACTTCCATGGCATCTACCACGCAGGAGCTCAGCGCTGTGGTGTGGGACTGCCTGGGGTTTGGGGCCAGTTTGTTACTGGGGGGACAGCAGGTAGCTTCTAATTTCTACGTAGGCTTTAGGGGTTCATCAGCAGGGTGGTGAGAGCGACAGGGCAGCCTTGGTGGGCACAACCTGGACACGACAAAGCAAGCACCCAAGGGCAGCAGGACCCGAGCTCCACGCAAGGCTGCTGGAGATGGTTTGCAGGCACCCATCAGAGCTGTGGTCCAGGCCAGGAGCTGGGGGCTGATCCCCACGGGTGCCATCAGAGCTCTGGCAGGGAGCCGTGCCACCGGTGCCGGCCTGGTGGTGGGTGCAGGACACCTCACTCTTCACCTGGGTGTTCCCCAACGGTCCACTTGGCCTTCATGTCCCGGAAAGGAGTGATGTCCTCGTAGGTGGCCATCTGCTCCACCTCCAGGCCCTGTGCCAAGAAGAAGGAGGTTGAGACATGGGAAAGGGGACCGTGGCTTTGGCCACAGCGCATCCCCCCTTGGGACCTTCAAGCAGGGCCCCATCTCTAGGCTGTTTCCCTGGAGATTGGGGCAGCTTCTGAGAGGGGAGAAGGTGGAGATAGATGGCTGGATGGGCTCAGAACTTGGCTTGGTCTTACAAGCAGCTCTTTACGGCTGATGTGCAACAAGCACTTGGGAGGAAGATGCCCTGCAGGTCCTGGTGGAGCCCAGGAGACACCCAGCAAGGGCACAACCGGCTCTTTCAAGGCTCAGATTGATATTACAGAGGCATTTCTATAATTAATGATGCATTACCTCATAGGTGTGGTCCTCCTCCGGGCTTTCCTTCTCTTCACCCTATGGAGAGGAGAGTCACAGGTTGAGTGTCCCCAGCACCCACTGGGATCTTCTGTCCCTTGTCCCCAGACTCGTCCCCCCAGGCCAGGTCCACCAGCTTTCACGTGCAAATCCAGGCTGTCCCCCCCCACCCCATTTGAGACACTTATTCCCCACTCAAGCAGCCCATCACGTTCCCATGCAACAGCCCCATCCCTAGTGGTGTCCTGCCCCTGGGGACATCCCAGGCTGATGTCTGGAGATGCCTCTGATGATGGGCTGGAGGTGCCATCACTTACTTTGTCTAGGAAGAGGAGCATGGGAACACTGATGAAGACAACCAGCAGGATGGACTGGATGACGATGATGGCGTCTTTCAGGGTGTTCCTGCTCTGGAACTGCTGGATGTTGTAACCTGGGAGCAGCAGCACAGGGAGAGCCCTAAGTCCCACCTCCGTGCTGGGCTCCTGAGGAACAGGGATGAGGTTGGCATGGCCACGGGTTTGTGTGTCAGCAGAGGGGATGGGGGGACCAGGGTGACATGCCCTCCCCTTTGGGAGAGAAGAGAGCGTTGCAAGAGGGGTTGGCATCAGGAACCAGCCCTGAGATGAGATACCTTGGCCAGGACCCACCACTGGGCAGGACCAGGAAAAAATCTGATTTTTTATGGGAGTCCAGTCCCTGGGATGTGTTTCTGTGGGATGGATGTGCCAGGGAAAAACAGGGGGAGGGCATCTTGCTGCTTGGTGGCTGTCAATGAGCAAAGAAACCTCTGGGGGGCCATGGAGCATCTACATCTGAGGGGGTCCCACAAGCATGGGGAGAGGTGGGTGCACAGGAGCATGATTTGGGATTCACATGGAGGGGGAAAGGGTGATAGAAGGGGAAGGAGCATCTCCTGGGGTGCATGGAGGAGGAGGAGGAGGATGGGGGGCTCCCACTCACTCAAGACTCTGAGCTCTGTCCCACACAGGTGCGGTTGCCTCTTCTCCTCCATGAGGTTCTTACTGTCGCACACGTAGATGCCGTTGTCCTCGTTGGTGATCCTGAAGATGGTGAAGTTGAGGAACTTGTCTCTCCTCTCGATGTTGTAGCGGGAGGTGTTCTCCAGCTTGTGCAGTTTATCGCTGTTGGGCTCCATTTTGTACCACTGCATGTTGTGGGGCTCCTTGGAGTAGCAGATGAAGTAGACGGGGGTGTTCCTCTTGGCCGCCACGTAGCGTGGCTGCTGCTGCACGATGGGGCACCTGCTATCTGCTAGGGGACAAGGGTCTTGTACCACTGCATGTTGTGGGGCTCCTTGGAGTAGCAGATGAAGTAGACCGGGGTGTTCCTCTTGGCCGCCACGTAGCGTGGCTGCTGCTGCACGATGGGACACCTGCTATCTGCTAGGGGACAAGGGAGGGTGGTCACGGCCAGCAAGGACCCTGTCCCATGAGACCTGCCCCCACAAAGATCAAGAGCTTTCCATTTTCATGGATTACACTCCTTTTGAGCGTTTAGCTTTGTTTTGGTGAGTCATCACCCGGGGGTAGAACTTTTGGTGAAAACGTGCTTTTAATGGAAACTGATTTTCTGTGGGAATGGCTTCGCTCTCATTCGCTCCCAAAAAAGCAGCACTTTTTTGCTGCTCCCACCCCTCCCTTCGTACATCTCGTTAGTCCTGGCTCCAAAATTACACCCTGTGCCGACACGCGCCACGGAGCCTTTGCCAGGACAGACCCCACCCATGCTCGTGCTTCTACATTTGTTGCATTTTGCTGTATTTTGTATTTTTGCCTGTGTTTTGGCCCCAGAGCTGGTGGGTTTGAGGGCTCGTCTGGGTTGTGGAGTTCATGCCTGATACCCCCTGGGTGGGAATTGTCCCAGGGCACGGCTTGTTCACGCAACGTGCTGGGCAAACACAGAGGAAAAACACGTGTGTTCTTCACAAAGACAAAAGGGATTGAGCTTTGCAGAGGGAGAGGAAGGTGCAGGGCTGGGGACGTGCCATGGAGGAGGTCACAGCCTGGGAATTGCCTCTGTGGTGGGGAAGGGTGGTGGGTGATGGGACATCTCCAGCTCTGCAGGGGACCAGCACCTTCGTGATGTGGTCCAGTGGGGACAGAAGGGACCCGGGGGACACAGGTAGGGAAGAGCCCAGTGGGTCTGGGAGGTTACCTGTGCTGCTGGTGGTGCTGCTCTTGTCTGCTGAGATCCCACCTGCAAGAGAGAAGGACCCTGAGGGAGTGGCCAAGGTAGGACAAGCCCAGGTAGGGTGTCCCACATGGGATGGCACATCCCATGAGTCCTTCTTGCCCACTCCATGTGGGATGGAGTGCTTGGGAGCACCAGCCAGAGCCCCATTGAGATGACCCAGAGCAGTGGAGATCTGGGTGCAAACCCTTCCACTTGCGTCCCATCTCCTGATTTTTCTCTAAGCTGCTTTCTGGTTGATGTCCCGGTGAAACCTGCCTTTGCTGTTAATATTCCCACAGGCTGGTGCCCTCTCAGAGGGACTCACGCCTCGTTATTTACACGTTTTTTGAATCAACCAGGAAAAACTTTCCCTGCTGGGGCTTCCTTGATCTCGGAGCCCCTTGATGGCCAGGTTCTCAGACCCTGGGACCATGCAGCCCCCAGAGACAGGGGCTGGATGCTGGATTCCTACAATGCAGTGCTGGAAACGGGGTGAAGCGGGGAACCCCCTAGCACCCATGGGTGCCCCAGCCCACAGCTCTGGTGCCCCTGTGCCTCGGTTCCTCTTGCTGCAGCTGGGCAGGAAGGACCAGCCCTGTTTATTGCATCGCTTCAGTGCCCAGCTCCATCCGCTCGATCAATATTCGCCAAATGCCACCGCGGGGAAGCTGGCATGGAGGTGGGGGCTGCACCACCTTCTAGCACGTTGGGGCAGCTGCAGAACTCACTCCCAAGGAGGAGAAGGAGAAGGAGAAGGAGAAGGAGAAGGAGAAGGAGAAGGAGAAGGAGAAGGAGAAGGAGAAGGAGAAGGAGAAGGAGAAGGAGAAGGAGAAGGAGAAGGAGAAGGAGAAGGAGAAGGAGAAGGAGAAGGAGAAGGAGAAGGAGAAGGAGAAGGAGAAGGAGAAGGAGAAGGAGAAGGAGAAGGAGAAGGAGAAGGAGAAGGAGAAGGAGAAGGAGAAGGAGAAGGAGAAGGAGAAGGAGAAGGAGAAGGAGAAGGAGAAGGAGAAGGAGAAGGAGAAGGAGAAGGAGAAGGAGAAGGAGAAGGAGAAGGAGAAGGAGAAGGAGAAGGAGAAGGAGATGAAGGAGGAGGAGAAGGAGATGAAGGAGGAGAAGGAGAAGGAGAAGGAGGAGACAGAAGGAGAAGGAGAAGGAGAAGGAGAAGGAGAAGGAGAAGGAGAAGGAGAAGGAGAAGGAGAAGGAGAAGGAGGAGAACCTGGTCTAGTGGGAGGTGTCCCTGCCCAGGGCCGGGTGTTGGAACTAGATGATCTTTAAGGTCCCTTCCAACCCAAACCATTCTGTGATTCTATCATTCTAAGAATAAGGAGAAGGAGAAGAAGAAGAAGGAAGGTTCAATTCCCCAACCTGAGTTTTTGCCTTGCCACCCACCCGCAGACCTTCGCCCTGCAGGGACCTCCTGGCTCAGCCATGGGGTCCCCTCCCTGCCCCAGAGTCTCTTCTAGGTCCATGCTGCCCTCCAGCACCTACATCGCTGCAGGCAAACTGCCCCCTCCAGCCTTATCTCATTTGTTTTCTGAGATGGGGAGATGCACCTTGTCTGGACTGGGCACTGGGTACATGTCCCTGCCACCAGCCCAGCTGGGGCACAGGCCTTTGCTCTCCATGTTTTGTTGGTGTTTCTAAACAAAGACCAGGCTGGTTCCTCACCCTAAAAGCCCTCACACCCCTCAAGCCAAGATTTCCATTGCATCCATGGGTGGGCTGAGCTTCCCCTGCCCTCCCTTGAAGTCATCATGAGAGCCAGGATGAAACCCTGTGACCCCGAATCCCTGCTGGACTTGGGGGGGCATACAAAAACCCTTTAAATGCCCTTTCTCCCGAGTTTCCCCAGCCGAGAGTGGGATCTGCTGCAGGTTTTGAGGGTGTCCCTGCACCGAGCAAGAGGAGTTGGAAAGGGACAGGAGATGGGTCCTGGGTTTAGCTGCTACTTCTCTGTGGGGATGCAAAGAGGAACAGCATGGGGATGCTCACACAGGGACCCCAAATCACCCCCAAAAGCCTTTTTCCTCCCATTTCTCCTCCGCTCCCGTGCACTGAACCCCACAGAGCACAGGGACGTGGGTTGGCCATGGCCCTGGTGATGTGCTGGCCCCATCCTTAGGCCCATGGGTGGGCTGAGCTTCCCCTGCCCTCCCTTGAAGTCATCATGAGAGCCAGGATGAAACCCTGTGACCCCGAATCCCTGCTGGACTTGGGGGGGCATACAAAAACCCTTTAAATGCCCTTTCTCCCGAGTTTCCCCAGCCGAGAGTGGGATCTGCTGCAGGTTTTGAGGGTGTCCCTGCACCGAGCAAGAGGAGTTGGAAAGGGACAGGAGATGGGTCCTGGGTTTAGCTGCTACTTCTCTGTGGGGATGCAAAGAGGAACAGCATGGGGATGCTCACACAGGGACCCCAAATCACCCCCAAAAGCCTTTTTCCTCCCATTTCTCCTCCGCTCCCGTGCACTGAACCCCACAGAGCACAGGGACGTGGGTTGGCCATGGCCCTGGCGATGTGCTGGCCCCATCCTTAGGCCTCTAAGAGCACTAAATGGGGAAAAAAAACCACCCGACCCTCTCTTTCCTGACACCTGCAACCACAGCTGGGCAGGCACCGAGGCCACCCGCCCGCCCCGGAAAGCTGGGTGCTGGGGGCGAGACAGTCGTGTCCCATCCCTGCACCCCAAGGGGAAGCAAAACCCCAAACCCGAGGCAGACATTGAGCCCTGACCCCCCGTGGGTCCATCCCGGCTCCGAGCGATGGAGGATGACAGTGGCAAAGTTTAAATCTAACGCATTTAAAGCCATCCCTGTGTGAAGCCCCTCATGGCACCGAGCCTGGGCGCATCCCCTGGGCGCGCGTTTTCAAAGCCCCTGTTTGACACCTACCTGTGACCAGGGCCATCAGCCAGAGGTTGGCCTGGAGCACCCACAGCCTGGTGCAGAAATCAGCCATCTTTCACCTCAAACAGAGAGGGGGAAACATCCAGTTGTCCAGCCTTCGCCTCTGCAGGACGCAGCGGCCGCTCCGACCGGCTTGGCCTCCCAACCTAAAAATGGCGAAGCTGCCGCTACGTGAGACGGCCCCTTTCCTGCTCATGTAAATCCTCCTCGATGGGGACTTTCCCCTCGGGGCCGGTTTTGAATGCGGCGCAGACGCTGGGGCAGCCGGTGCCTGCGCCCTGGGCACCCTCCAAGCCTCGTGTCCCCAGGCTCTGCTCATCGTGGTGGCCACCGTTGATGGAGGTGCCCACCACTGGTGGTTGAGATGAGCCCACCTGCAAAGCACTCGGGGCTGCAAAACCTGGTGTGGGTCCAGGTGATGTGCCCAGGGAGTGAGAGGTGACCATTGGTGTTGTCACATCCCTTGAGGTGGGGTAAAGGATGGGGGTTACCCCCAGGGTTGTACCCCAGCTCCACAGCAGTGTGGGCAGGTTCCCCCCAGTTTAGCTCCTCAGGTGATGGGTGCAGGAGGTGATGGTGGTCCAGTGGCAAGAGTTGGAGCAGGAGCAGGGTGGGATGAGGGGATGTTTGTGGGGCTTCTAATCTCTGCTCATTGAGGGGTGATGTTGGGTTGGTTCCCCCCAGTTCCCATCCCCAACATCCCAGAGAGTCCCCACAGCTGCTCTTCCAGGGAAGGGTGAAATGTAGAAGAGGAGAGAGATGACCAAAGTGAGGTGTCACCTCCCTGGATGCCAGCCAGGCCCGCTCCTTCACACCCTGATTACCATGAAACCCTTCTCCATGAGTCCTTTGGAGACAACCGCTCCCCAGGGAAGGAAAAGATGGCACCCCAAGGTGGGACCCCAAGGTGAGCTCTGTCCCCCTCTGCTCCGACGCAGAAATACGGTTTCCGTCCATGCTGTGCCCTCCGGCCGCAGCCCTGCACCAGCTGCGGGTGAGCACTGAACTGTAAATCCATGTGAAAAACACCTTTGGGTACTTTTGCCAGTTGTGTTGGTCCCCAGAGCCCCGGTGACTCTGCCTGGGGCCTCCCCAGACCTTCACCTTCTGCAGGTTTGGTGGGTTTTTTACCAGTTCTGAGCATCCGGCAGCTGCTGGGAACCAGACTGAGCCCCACATTATGTGTGAGGCGATGTGAAGCGAGAAAAAGGAGAAATAAAGGTTTCCAGAGAAAAGCTGGCCCCAGGAGAGGAAGAGAGATGATGGGAGAGGTGCCTTCTCCTGGTAAAGCAGGCAGGTCATGCTGGGCATGGTGCTGTATGTTGGTCCTTGCTGCTGGCACCTCTGGTCTTGCTGGAAAAGCACAGCCTGGCCATGACATCCCAGCAAGGCAAAACCATCAGGGATGTCCATGCACTTGTGGGATTTCCATCAAGCCTGGGGTGGGAGATGGGAGCTGCACTGAGTGAGGTGGGGATGCTGGAGCTTCTTGGGAAAGTCCCATGGGGGAAAACCAGAAGCAGGGCACAAACTAAAGAGGGTTTGCAGTGACAGTGGCCAAATTACCCCACGGCCTGGCCTACAGGTTCCTTGGCACCCTCAAACAGGTAGACCTGGTCCAGAGGGGCTCAGTCAATCCTGTGCTTGCAGTGCCCCATAGCATAGGATGTAAGGAGGAGGAGGAGGGTCACAGGGAGGGTCTTGTGTCCCTATGTCTCTTCCCCTGGGCCACCCTGGCTCCCCAGATCCTCTGCCAGGCAGCTGTGCTCTTCCCCAACCCATTCCTATTCATCAGGGCTTGGGTTTCACTGCTGTCCTTTCCCCCGCCGTTGGAGGACAGGGACGGTGGGTCACACCACCTCCTTCCTCCAGCCTCCTGCCTGCGTGGGTGCCATGATGCTCAACTTGAATTACGCCATCCTTGGGACAAGCTGTTCCAGCCAGAGCAAAAACACAGCAGTGAGGCCATGCCATGGCCCTCGGGGACGTCAGTGGCTCCTCCTTCAACGACATGTTGATGTAGAAACTTCCTTTGCCCATTTGCTACCTTCTCCCCATGATGCTGAACTGCTCCTGCGTGGCTGGTGGGGCAGGTTTGGCTTCACAGAGCCTGGTATGGGGGTCTGCACCTCCTCCAAGCCCACCTCTCTCCTTGGTTGAACGTGCAGCAGCATCTCCTGTGGCTCCTAGAGATGGAGCTCATTGCCGTGAGGCACCAAGGGCTCCAGGGGAACTTGTTCAAAGAATCACAGAATGGTTAGAGTCGGAAGGGACCTTAAACATCATCAAGTTCCAACTCCCCTGCCCTGGGCAGGGACACCTCCCACCACACCAGGTTGCTCCAAGGCCCCTCCAACCTGGCCTTGAACCCCTCCAGGGATGGGGCAGCCACAGCTTCTCTGGGCTCATGAGCAGAGGAGAAGCTCTGGGCTGGGTTGGAGGCAGCGCAGGGGGTCTCTTGTGCAGCGTGGGACCACCAGGTCCTGTTGAGGATGGCGGGTCCACCCAAAGCCATGCAGAAAGGCTCCCCACACCTACCCTGGAGCAAAGGGAGGGGACATTTACCCCTCCCAGGCCCAGGGTAGACATTTCTCCCTCTAACACACACCGACGCATTTGGCATCGTAATCATAGACCGTTTACGGTTGTTTATTTTAAGAAATGTACAAAGAAAAATGCCTTTAGCGCACGCGGATCCTGCTCTTTGGCATTTTTTTTTCTTTCCAACCACCGACGACACGTACGTACAAGCAGCATCGATTGTGAACCACAATCCGGGCTGGGAAACGGCCGGAACCGGGGATGCTCCCCCAACGCAGAGGCCGTGGAGAGGGGCTCAGGGTCCTGTCCCCGGGAGCAGCACCCCCTTTGCGACACGGAAATGACAGGCACGAGGCGACGGGACGAGCGGGAGCGACCCCAGCTCTGCCACCAGCACGGGGACACGAGGAAAAGCTCAGCACCGCTCCTGGCCAGCCTCAACGTGGGGCATCCCTAACGGCTCAGCGCCAAAATCAGCCCAAGGAAAAAAAAATTAATATATAATTATCATCATAATAATAATACACGAGGAAAAGCTCAGCACCGCTCCTGGCCAGCCTCAACGTGGGGCATCCCTAAGGGCTCAGCGCCAAAATCAGCCCAAGGAAAAAAAAAATACATATAATTATCATAATAATAATAATAATTAATAATAATAAAAAAAAGACAGACCCTTTGGCTTCAAGAAGCAGCCCTTGTTTTAACTGGAAGAAGTTTTTGGTTCATGTTTGGTTTGATCTCAAGAGGGTTGGGTTTTTTTTTCCCCTTTTGAAGGCAGAAGACGGTCCGGAGATGAACTCGGGGCCTTTTGCACATTTTTCTTGGATTACTTGCCTTTTCCCCACCTGCGTAAAGAGCAGTTAAAACCCTTCCCCCCCTCCCTGGGAGAACCCTCTTCTGCTGAGAGGGTTCCTGGTGAGGACCTGCCTGGCCCCAGCAGGTGCCGCGGGGTCAACTCTGGAGCCCCAGCCAAGAGAAGGATGCTCTGCCCAAGGATTTGGGATTTATACCCCAGTGGGGCATTAATTGCGTTAAGGCCCCCAGTGCTGGGTGGCCGATGGGATTTAAGGGACCCCGTTGAAGCAGCTGATTGCAACGACCGTTCAAAGACCTGCTCTGATCCCTGGGGATGCGCCTCGTTAATTAATGCTAATCAAGAGCATCCATCAGGACATTTCCACTCACTACGGGGCTTGAAGAAACCCTGCAGCGTTTTCTTGCAGGGACTGGGGATTCTCAGAGGACGTTCTCCAAACCCTACCTTTGCCCATTGCTTTCCTGCCACAAAATCTGGATGAAACGGGAAATCGGAGAAGAAACATGAATATAAACACCATTTACATTCGTACCGTAGAGACCTGAATGATTTATGATTTCAATGCATATTCAGAGACCTTTAAAAACCTGATAGTTAACCCTGAGAACATATCTGCAGATGCTTTGTTTTGGCTACGCAAACAAATCTTTAAGACATAATTGCACTTTCTCTGTATATAACAAAAAAAATAATCCATAAAGCTTATTCAAATATTTGCACTTTCTCTGTATATAACAAAAAAAAAAAAAATCCATAAAGCTTATTCAAATGTTCAAAAGAAAGGTGCTAATTTAAGACATTGGAGATTTTTGTTCAGAAAACCTTGCCTTTTCTGTAATTATTTTTAATATTATTTCACTTGGCTCATCTTTCACTGGCTACTTGTCTGCACTCCGGAAGAATAATATACAAGAAAATCTCTTAATTGTGAAATAACATTAATAAATAATTACTTTAAATAAAAGGACAGCCATACTCATTTGTTAACGTCTGAAAAACATCGTTGCCATGATGAGATCATTTCAAAACTAAAAATGTTTCTCTTTCACCAACAATAGAATTCACATTTAATTCTCATAATAAAAATATTAAACTCTTTGCAAGTGCGGCGAGCTGTAAAAACCAGGATCAGTGAGAGATCCTGCTCCAAAAGTTAAGGTGTCTGCTTGAATTATCTGAAATTAGCTCGGTATCTAAGATCTATTGATCTGTATATGGAAGAGCTCTTGAAAAGGAGATACAAATGAAGTCTTTTTTAGGCGGAAGCCTCTTTCTGTTATACCAGCGACTCTTTCACAACATATTCCTTATCCCATCCTTCTGCTTCTCCAGGAGCATCTTGAGTCTCTGAGCTGGGAACGGGTGCAAGACCAAAGGCAGGGGCTGTCTCCACATCTGTCCCACTGTTCCCATACATCTCGTGCATTTTGGTGGCGATCAGACCTTCCTTCTCGGGCGCGTCCTCTTGCAGGGCCTCCTCGTCCTTACTGTGCCTGTACATGTAGGACGCCTGCTTCACCGAGCGCCTCAGGAGGTACCTCCTGAAAGCCCTCTGGATCTTTGTGGCACAGACTTCCTCGTGTTTCCTTTTCAGAGTGGTGGTGATGGGCTCATAGGAAACTTTTGAGGGGTTTGCAGCCATGAACTTCTCCTCCATGGTGGCCTTCAAGGCATCCATCTCTCCCGAGTCTCCCAGCACTTCCTTAGTCAGGGCAAAGAGGATATCCAGACAGTGGATTTTGTCCCCAGCAACCATTGGTAGATCCATGGTGATTAGTTTGATCTTGTTTGGCTTGGGAATTTTGAGTGGCTCCTGTAAGGTGTCTACAAAGTCAGATAAGGTGCTGTACGCGATGAACTGGGTGGCATCCGGGTCAAACTTCTCCCAAGTTTCATAAAACATTTCAAAATCATCTTCACAGAGGGGTTCGCTGCTCTCCTCTGTGGCCACATTGAAGTTCTCCAGGATGATGGCAATGTACATGTTCACCACGATGAGAAAGGAAATGATGATGTAGCTGCAGAAGAAGAAGATGCCAATGGAGGGATTGCCACAGTCCCCTTTGACCGAACTGCCAGGGTTTTCCAGCTCAGGGTCACAGTCGGGGGGACCGCTGTTCAGGATGGGGCTGAGGAGGCCATCCCATCCAGCCGACGTGGTGATCTGGAAGAGGCAGATGATGCTGTTCCCAAAAGTTTCAAAGTTGAAGATATCATCAATCCCTGCCTCCTTTTTTACATAGGCAAAGTTGGACATCCCGAAGATGGAGTAGATGAACATGACGAGGAAAAGCAGGAGGCCGATGTTGAACAGGGCAGGCAGGGACATCATCAGGGCAAAGAGGAGCGTCCGGATGCCTTTGGCCCCTCGGATCAGCCGGAGGACACGGCCAATCCTTGCCAGCCTGATGACCCTGAAGAGGGTGGGTGACACAAAGTACTTCTCTATGATGTCTGAGAGGACGATACCTGTGAAGGGATGAAGGAGAAGTGAGTTTGCCATGCTCTGCAGCCAACACGGGGAGGTGAGATGGAGGTCCTCTAGCTGCCAGAGTTAGGCAGATAGAGGGAGATGAGGCCACCCCTGTTGGCACACAGGTCTCTTTTCCTCTGGTGGCAAAGGGAACATATTAAAAAATAAACCCAGAGGTTAAATGCTGGTTTCTTTGTTTCAGAGACAAGGGGAACCCAACACCAAGGAGGAGTGAGACACAACCCCAGCCCCTTGTCCAGCCTGGTGGCATGGGGTGGCCTCACATCCGTCTTGTCTCAAGGTCCTGTTCTTGGTTGTGCTTGGTTCTGCTCAAGGGGTGGGTGTACGGGGGTGGCCAGTGACAGCTTGGTGGTTGTGGATCAGCTAGACCATTTCCACTCTTCATTATCCAGAGGGACCCCTGAGGAACTGGTGGAACAAGCAGGACTCACCTAAGATGGAGAGGATGACCACCACAAAGTCAAAGATGTTCCAGCCGATAGTGAAGTAGTAGTAACGCAAGGCAAACATTTTGAGCACACACTCTCCAGTGAAGATGACGATGAAGACCAGGTTTATCTTGTAGAGGACAGATGTTTTGAGTTCACTTTGATCATCAGTTTCGACCATCATGGTCACCATGTTCAGGCAAATCAGGATCATGATGGTTATGTCAAACACCTGCCTGGTAACAAAGTCAAACACCATCCCTTGAAACTTGTTCTGTCGTAAGGGCCATGTGGGTGATGATGGAGAACCAGAGGTCAGGTGGGAACAGACACACATACACACAAAACAAAAGACACAACAGAAAGAGAAGAAGGAACTGTATTTAGAAGAGCATAGAAAACCTCAGTGTCGTGGCCAGTACATGGGTCTCATGGCCACAAAAGCTATGAGAGGAGGATACCCAGCACCTTGCAGGATGAAACCCATCTGGTGACACCACGGCCAGGAGGCGTGGGCACAGGGGACAGTTGCTTTCTAATTATACCCACAGCTAATACATCAGGGCAAAAATAAACAGATGGAAAAGGCCTCACTTGAGCAGGTCTGTCACAACCAAACCCAAGTCACAACTGTGTATGTATTGGCCAGGCCAGCGTCCCTTCTAGGAGTGTTGAAAGCTGAGCTTTCCCCGAGCTGAGCTTTCCAACTCCCTTCTGGAGAGGAGCTGGGAGCTGAGACAGGAGAAATCCCTAATCCCTGCAAAAGTGACCATCCGCCCCCGGCCTTGCCCCTGACCCAGGGCTGAAGAGCAGACACAAAGAGCATCGCCTGATGTGAACCTCTTCTGAAGCTCCGTCTCTTAGCAAGGTCCTGTCTGAAGAGTAGCGATAGGGAGCCAGGATTTGGCTCCTTGCCCTGGCAAATTCCCTTCCCTAGACCCTTCTCATTCATTTTGGGACAGCTGGTGGCGTGAAGAGCTCCCCCAGGGTGATTAACCCAACATACCGACGGCCTGGGGATGGGCTTCTGCGGCTTCTTGGAGCCCAGCTTCTTCATGGCGTTATAGTATTTCTTCTGCTCTTCTGTCATGAAGATGTCTTTGCCTCCAAAGTATAAAGGGAATCACTTCAGTTAGTCTTGGGGTCTCGCCTCTTCCCATCAAGCATCTCTGACCAGGCTCCTTCCCACCAAGTGTCTCTGACCGTGCTCCTTCCCTCCAAGCTTCTCCAGCCAAGCTCCTACCAGGCTCTACTCACTGCACTGACTCAGTTAAACCTTCTTCCTCCCTGCTTGTCCCTTTCTCTGCTGCTTCCCCTCATTCACAGCACCCATGGGTGCTCACCCCAGCGCTGTGGTTTCCTCCTGAAGAGGTGAGATGCTGCCTCCCAGCCCACTGCAGAGAGTGGGGCACCCCACATCCTGCCAGGGATCACCCCCTACTTGCTGGCTGGATCCTGCTGGGACCCAAACAAGTATCTCGGGGGGCTTCAGAGCTCGCTCAGCACCAACGACGTGCTCTGTGTTACCCCAACTCCACTTGCTCCCCACTCCAGCAGCCCAGGGACATTGGTCCCCTGCTGCTCGCTGGAAAGCAGAAGTCGAGTCTCTCCTCGATGGATGGAAAAATGATGAGAAAGGGTCACGGGGTAGGAAAAGAAAATAATAGTGACAGCACAGGCGTACAGCTGTGCCTGCTGGCACACAGGCAAGAGAAACCACAGCCCCCCTCACCTCCTCCCTCTGCATCCATAAATGACATCCTCTGTAAATGCTATGGCCAGGACACAAATCCCTGGGTGCTGTTTGCCCAGCTCTCCTTGTTCACTAATGGATAACAGCAATTCAGGTTCCAGAGGGACCCTGGGGTCCATCCAAGCCTTTGTCTTTTCACCCCACAATCCTGCTGGTCCCCTCTATCCTGCTTTGAACTAGGTGATCTTTCAGGTTCCAGAGGGACCCTGGGGTCCATCCGAGCCTTCGTCTCTTCACCCCACAACCCTGCTGGTCCCCTCTGTCCTGCTTTGGACTAGATGATCTCCAAAGGTCCCTTCCAGCCCCTGCCAGTCCACAGTTCTGTCCTGGACCAGTGTCCAGAAAATACTTATCTTTTTCTTCTGCTGGTTGAAGTTATCGATGATGACGCCGATGAAGAGGTTCAGGGTGAAGAAGGCGCCGAAGATGATGAAGATGACGAAGTAGATGTACATGTAGAGGTTGATCTCGTACACTGGCTGCTCTTCAATCTGACCAGGAGAGATGGGAAACGTGAGACTAACTGTCACCCAAAAGCATGTCCCCAAGCCCCTGGACAATCTGTCACTGTATCCGGACATAGCCATGGGGTGGCTGCTCCGAAACCTTTGGCAGATGATGTGTGGGTTGAGTGGTCCCCATGGGAGCAGCTACAGGAAGGGACATCCACGTGATACCACCTGGGTGACAAAGATGTGCTGATCCCCAGCCTATGGTGAGGGCTGGGGAAGAAGAAAGGATGCCCAGGTGCAGTGATATCAATGAGGAAACTACAGTTTCTTCCCAATAATCAGCTTTCCAAGGACTGAAATAAAGCCAAGAGGGGAAAGGAAAAGTGGTTCAATTCATGCCACACCAGCACAGGGGGGTGACACAGCCTGGCAGCCTCGAAAAACACTCCTCATCAAGGAGTATCGCTTAATTCTGCTCTAGAATTGACTGGAGGCATCCCAAGGTGTCACAACCAGCCTCTCTCATTTCAAGGAAGGCTCTTGGCAGAAGAGAGCAGTTTTTCTCCCAAAACAGCTTTGCCCGAGGTGTTCGGGGAGACAGGAGCCCGAGCCCTTTTCAGAGGGAGCTGGAAGCAGCTCCTCTGCTGGGCACCGGCAGCTGCAGCTGGGTGAGAAGACAGGCTGTTTCTGGTGCTAAAAAAAGGCAACGAAAACAATAAGTTCAGGCCCGTGGGTGTGTGGGGCTGAGCCCCTCGGTGGGGCACGGGCACGCTCGCTCGGTTAGAGAAGGGTAGGAAATCCCTGCTGCTCTGTGTGTGCACACCTGGGCTGGCCTGGGGACACTTTTTGGGATGGATCACAGCAGAAACAGCCCCTGCATGAAGCCCTTCAAAATACGATTGGTTTTAATCACCCATTTAACCCAATGATTAAATGCTGGCTGCTGTTCAAATAACCTGATTATTAGGGGGCCGACATAAATAACACATTTCGGGAGCCTACAAGAAAGTTGGGGAGGAACTTTTTACAAGGTCGTGTAGTGAGAGGACAAAGAGGGGATGGTTTGACACTGAAAGAGGGGAGATGGAGCTGAGATGTGGGGAAGAAGTTCTTTGGTGTGAGGGTGGTGAGAGCCTGGCCCAGGTTGGCCAGAGAAGCTGTGGCTGCCCCATCCCTGGAGGGGTTGAAGGGCAGGTTGGAGGGGGCTTGGAGCAACCTGGTGTGGTGGGAGGTGTCCCTGCCCAAGGCAGGGGGTGGAACTGGATAGTCTCTAAGGTCCCTGCCAACCCAAACCATTCTATAATTCTATGATTATTGCTCAAGGCAAGCCAGGCTCTTTATGCAGGATGGGATGAATTGTCCCAGCTGGAGGAGCACATGGAGGGCATCGTGTCACAGCAGGGTGAGGGACGAGCCCTCCAGGTTGGAGCTGTGGAGGCAGAGCGGGGATTTCGGACCGTAAAGCTGACACCGAGGAGCGGTCTGAGCCCCAGCTGTAGCCCAGGTGGGGTGGGAGCCCGGTGAGGGGGCCAGGGTGCAGCTGGGAGGGTGGATGTGGTGCAGGTGACAATGACATGGGTGGCTCAGGGACAAAACCGGCTGCCTTTTTTAGGTTGTGCACCTCAGCAGGGGGGATATTTTGGGGGTTTCTCTACTCTTTAGCCCATGTCCTAGCTGAAGCCATGGGTGGGATGCAGGCAGCACCCCCAGCATCCATGGGCAGAGCCAGGGGGGATGCTGGAGATATTCAAGGAGAGGCTCGACGAGGCCCTGGGCAACCTGGTCTAGTTGGGGGTGTCCCTGCTGACTGCGGGGAGGTCGGACTAGATGGCCTTTGGAGGTCCCTTCTGGCCTGGACAACTCTATGATTCTATGAAGACAGAGGGGTCCATCCCCAGTCCATGCTGAGCATCTCCTTGGCCCTAAGACTCTGCTCCCATCCTGCTGGGGGAACTGGCCCTGTGGGATGACCAATGCTTGGTGCTGGTTGTGAGACATCCCAGCTTCTCTCCTCACCTCGCGAGAGTCCACGGCGGCGTACATGATGTCCATCCAGCCTTTGAAGGTTGCCTGCGGGGACAGCGGAGAAGAACAGATTTGCTGGGAGGCATTTGGGGCTGGGGAGGGCGATGGGTGTGTGATTGGGGTTTGGTTTGGGGGTTCAGCTCTGAGCATGCCTGCTCAGCCTGCTCGGAGGAGGTTACAGCTTCTCTGTGGCAATGGCAGGAGAAGGACCATGAGAAAAATGCCCTGATAGAGAAATACTGAGATTTGCTCGTGCACACACAAAGCTCCCTTCTGTGGCTGAGGTTACCAGGGGCTTCCCAAAACACCGCTGCAAACCAGGGTGGGAAAAGAAGGAATTAACTCTTTTCTCCTCCAAACCAAAATGCATTCTTCAGCTGTGCTGGGGCTGGCTGCCTCCCTCCAACTCCTGGATCCCGATCCTGGTGGGGTGTCAGGGAAGGGGGGACACTGCATCTTTTACAGGCTTTTGCTGCTGATTTGTTAAACAAAAAGCCTGAACATCTTTGTTTCCTGATTCTGATGGAACAACAAATCTGAAGAGGAAGCTGAATTTAAAGTAGGTTGATCAATTTGGGTTATGCTCCGATTCTGCAACCGCCAGTTCCCCTGGATCTGCTGGGAGTAACCCCAGACTACCCAATAACAGAGCCCACACCTATATTTTTATTAAAACTGCGGTGAGCAGTTCCTCTTCCTCTTGCCTGGCTCAGCTGCAGTGGGTTCAGTGGAAGAACGGCTGCGTTCGCCCACTGTGGACACATGCGCTCTTTTTCCAGTCGTCATCTTCCCCATGCAAAGCTCCTGCAGCCCACGACTACAGCAGACCCAACTTTTTAAACGGGTTGGGGGAAAGACAGACCTCCCCCGCCTCGGTCCTGCATCCTGTGCTCTGCAGAGGACTTCTGGCAGCCCCAGGTTTGGTGCTCCCTACACTCATCCACAGCAGTTCCCTGGTGACATTTATCTTCCCCTTCCATCTTCTGCCCTCTCCTTTTCCTCCTTGGCTCTGCAGGGCTTTGGGATTTTTTTTTGTGTTAAATACCAACTTTGGAGCTAAGAAGCAACTAAGGTCCCCATCTGGGCATCAGGGCAGCATCTTCCTTCAGCCCTGATGCTAATTTGACTGGGGCAGTGATTGTCCCCCAGTACATGGCACTGGTGAGGCTCCACCTCAAGGTCTGAGTCCAGTTATGGGCCTCTAATGACAAGAAAGACATTGAGGTGCTGGAGCGTGTCCAGAGAAGGACACACTGGAGCTGGCGAAGGTTCTGGAGCACAAGTCTTGTGAGGAGAGGCTGAGGGAGCTGGGGGTGTTCAGCCTGGAGAAAAGGAGGCTGAGGGGAGACCTTCTCCCTCTCTCGAACTCCCTGAAAGGAGGGTGTAGCCAGGGGGGGTCGATCTCTTCTCCCAATGAACAGGCGATGTGATAAGAGGAAATGGCCTCAAGTTACACCAGGGGAAGTTTGGGATGGATATTAGGAAAAAATTTCTTCACTGAAAAGGTTGTCGAGCCTTGGAATGGGCTGCCCAGGGCAGTGGTGGAGTCACCATCCCTGGAGGTATTTAAAGCGGGGCGGGTGAGTGGTGGTTTGGGCAGTGTTGGGTTGATGGTTGAACTCAATGATCTGAAAGGTCCCTTCCAACCTCAATGATTCTATGATTCTGTGATTCTATAATTACAGAATCACAGAATCTTCATGGTTGGAAGGGACCCTTGAAATCGAGTACAACCATACACACAGACACAAAAAAAACCCAACCCAACAATCCCAGGCACTAGAGCATGCCTTGAAGTGCCACATCTACACGTTTCTTAAATCCCTCCAGGGATGGTGACTCCACCACCTCCCTGGGCAGGCTGTTCCAGGGCCTGACCACCCCTCAGTGGAAAGTAATTCTTCCCAATATCTCATCTAAACCTCCCCTGCCTCAACTTCAGACCATTTCCTCTGGTCTGGTCATTATTCCCTTGGGACAAGAGGCCAAGACCCACCTCTCTACACCCTCCTTTCAGGTAGTTGTAGAGGGCAATGAGGTCTCCCTTCAGCCTCCTCTTCTCCAAACTAAACATGCCCTGTTCCCTCAGCCTCTCCTCGTATGACTTATTCTCTAGACCTCTAGTTCTCTAATTCTAATGGCACTGCCCTGTTACAGTGATGCATCACATGGAGGGATGGCAGCTGTTTTCATTACGTACCACCTGCAGCAAGGAGAGGTATCCCAAGCCCACGTTGTCGAAGTTGACCTTGACATTGACCCATCTGACCTCGTTGGTGTGGAGGAGGGCCATGCAGTCGCTCTTGTTGTTCACCACACTGATGTCAAAGAGCTCCCCCGTGGTGGTGTTGACACACCGGTAGTACTTCCCCGCAAAGAGGTTCACCCCCATAATGCTGAATATCAGCCAGAAGATGAGGCAGACCAGCAGGACGTTCATGATGGAAGGGATGGCGCCCAGCAAGGCATTCACCACCACCTGCATGGGGAGAAAAGACCTTGGAAGACCTGGCTTTGGAACCAGGGTAGCAATGATGTGGAGTTTCACGTCCCTGTGCCCCAGCCTTACCCTCCCCAGAAGCACCAGGTGGGCTCAGACTGGATTAATGGTACTTTAACATCTCAATCCCACTGATCTGGAGTCCCCTGAAAACCAACTGGGATGGGTCCCTGATGTAGGTGACTGCTGAATGGTGCCACATTGCACGCCCGTGTCAGAGCCAGCAACACACGGGGGAGGAACCTACCCTCATGCCTTCAAATCTGGACAGGGCACGCAGTGGTCTCAGAGCCCTCAGGGTCCGCAGGGACTTGATGGCTCCCAGCTCGGAGTATCCCAGCCAGTTCGCTGTCAGGCTGACAAGGGAAACCTGGAAGGAGCAGCCCAAAGGATTAGCGATGTCTCAGCTGGAAACACAACCAGGGTCCCTGATGTAGGTGACTGCTGAATGGTGCCACATTGCACGCCCGTGTCAGAGCCAGCAACACACGGGGGAGGAACCTACCCTCATGCCTTCAAATCTGGACAGGGCACGCAGTGGTCTCAGAGCCCTCAGGGTCCGCAGGGACTTGATGGCTCCCAGCTCGGAGTATCCCAGCCAGTTCGCTGTCAGGCTGACAAGGGAAACCTGGAAGGAGCAGCCCAAGGGATTAACAATGTCTCAGCTGGAAACACAACTGAACCCTGTCCCTGCAGATCCTGCACTTCCCTCTCTGCCCAGAACTCCCTCAGGCTGGTGGACATCATCTTGTCTTGGGACACAGGGCTCGGCATAGAGTCCTTGGGTCCCTGGTGACCAGCCACCTGGAGGATGTCCCTGCTTCTTGGGTATGAGGGTGGAGGTGACAGGGGATGCAGAAATAATGCCCAGGTGGAATGACCTGCTGTGTCACGGAGCTTTTGGGAGACCCTACATCCCTTCACATCTTTACTGGGGGCTGGTAGAACAGCACGGGCTTGTTCTTGGCTTGAGCATAAAACAGAAAGGGCTTTGAAAGGGTTTCTGCGACCAGGGGAAGAAGTGGCCCTTCCTGTGGGGGACCATTATTTTAAGCAATGGTCTAAGCCCTCTTTCCACAGCCACCCATTGTCCTTTAAAATACAGCATGGGTTCATTTCCAACCCCCTAATTCCTTTAAAATACAGCATGGGTTCATTTCCAATGGCCTGCTACAACCCCCTAATGCTCCCAAATCCCTTGGCTAACCATGGCTCTCATCAGACCACACTTACATCCACGATGAGGAAGTCCAGCCAGCACCAGGCGTTGGTGAAGTACACCTTGAAGCCGTAGGCCACCCACTTGAGCAACATCTCGATGACAAAGATGTAGGAGAAGACCTTGTCGGCGTACTCCAGGATGGTGCGTATCACCTTCCGCTGTTCGATGTAGATGTCCTCAAAAGCCTGGAGGAGGCACGGAGCTACGTGACAGTCATTCTTCCATTAGACCTGCTGCCTGGCTCAACGCAGCCACATCCACACCTACATTTCCTTGGGCTTGGAGCAGCTTGAAGAGTTGAGAGCCTTGCTACAGGTGGCATTTACCCATGCACCTGATCAACGTGGGGTCTAACTGTTTGTGAGCTCCTGTTGGCTGCGTAGAGCGGTGTTTGCCCCCAAGCAAAGCTTCACTGCAGCAAATGTCCAGCTCCACCTAATTCCCCCTGGTCTGAGCACAAGCCAGAAGCCAGGATGCCAACCTGCACCTCTGGAGGCCTTGGTAGTTTTGAAAATGCTCTTCAGGAGCACTAGGGCTTACTGATACATGCTTATGGGATGTAAGACACAAACAATCAGAGGTAGGGGCATGGTGGCCAGGTGTTGCACAGCTGTTTTAGCACAGCTTTCGATTCCGGCACTGGCTACAACCTCAGACATCCCCAAACTGCACTTCAGAGAGTGATGCAGACACAGAGAACATGTCTGAAAACCAGTTCAGTCCCTCTGTCACCCTTCCTTCTCTCTTTCTCCCCTCCGCCAAACCTGCAGAGAAGTTGGTCTCCCCATTAGCTCTGTGCTAATTAGCAGCTGAGTAATACCCAGGGCAAACATTCCAAGAGGGCACACAGCTTTTTAATGAGGGTGATTTAAATGGACACCTGGGTTCTGGAAGGGTCAGAGGCTGGGAGTGCTGAGCAGCAAAATAATAACCATGAATTGTTTGAGAAGCACCTCCCGACAGCCAGTTATGGAGGCAGAGGAATGAGGAACCATCCGCATAAAGCTGAATAGATGGTGTGGATAGTTCATGGTTGACACCGAGAGCAGGACAGGAGGCTGTAGCAGGTTGCATCCATGGACTACAGCCCATGTTGGGGGGCTGTACAGGGGTGACTGTACCAATGCAGGGCTCTTGGAGGGCAAGGGGAGGAGGTTTAGATCCCTTTTCAAGGCTGCACATGGGGCAGACCTGAGCCAAATGGGGTTTTATGTCAAACATCTGCCCACAGCTGTGTTATTTTGCACAGAAAATAACCAGGCGATGCCCAGAGCCTCCGGTGCTGCTTCCTGGGCTCTGCCCATGTTCCTGGGCTACCACCAAGCTGGGGAGCTGCTGCAGAGCAAATGGGACAGGGCAAAAGGTGGGACCTACCAGCGCCCCACTGCTGAGGAGGATCATGAAGACGATGAAGGTCTCAAACCAGTCGTGCTCCACGATGCGGAAGCAGGTTTTCCGGAGGTTCCACCACACCTTCCCTCTGTCACTGGTGATGTCCACGTAGAGGCAGGGAAACCTCTTCACGCAGGCTGGGGATGGGACAAAGAGCTGTGAGTTACCTCCTGGCCAGGGTGTTTCCACCAACATGACACTATTTGTGCTTTTATTGTCTTTTCAAACCCTCCTGGGTGAGGGTTGGAGCAGGATCCTGCTGGGTTTGAGGGTGTGCGTGCAAGAGGGGAGCCCCACAGGGACCCTGGTGGTACAGGAGAATTTGGAGTTTGGGCTGAGCTAAGTGAGCCTGGGGGTCTTCTGTTGCAAGAATTGGTTGGTAACAGCCCCTCCATACCCACCTCCCCCTCTCCACAGGTTCCCCTGCCCTGCTCGGTCCCTCACCTTCGGTGAAGCACTCCTCAGGCTCGTTGCTGTCCTCAGCCTCTTCTGCCACCTCCTCCTCCACCGGCGCCGGGGGCTTGTAATCCACGGTGCTGCACACGGATGATGCGTTGTCATTGGGGAGGGGAATCTGCAAAGGGAGAGGAGGATTCAGGCTGGGATGCCCTGTGGAAGGGATGCTCCTGGGCTGCGGGTGCCTCCAGCCACCCTCCAGCTCCTCCTGCCCCCACCGTGCGACCCAGCTGGTGGGACCCTCTCCCTTGAAGGTTGCTCTGAGTCCCTTTCCTAGGAAAATGCAGCCCAAAGCGAAGCTGTTGAACTCTCCAGGGCTATAAACCATGAAGGATTTTTGGTACAAGAGCTTGCACAAGCTTGGCTTTTCATCCAGGTTCAGAGGAGTAAAAGGTCCCTTGATCCCAGCCTTCCTCCCAGCACAGCAAGTACATCTCCTGTCCACTTGTACCATCACCTCAGGCTGAATTTCTCACCTCCTCCTTCTCCTCCACATGCACCTGACTAAGAAATTCTCTGCCAAACGCCCTTTGGTAGAAGGAGACCTGCAGAAAGCTGGGTGGCCACCATGGCACGTCTCTCAATTCCTGCTGGCTTGGTTTGTGCTGAAGGGCTTTTAGGCTGAGGTTCACCCAAGTTCAAAACCTGCATCCCAAATATCTCTCACCGGCTCCATCCCGCGCCACAGCTCGGCTTGGCCGGCTTCCCAGACACCACTCAGCGAGGCCCGGAGGGGCTGATAACGAGAGAAAAACTTGGCAAGGCACTGGGATTTTTTGCCTCCAGCCACCCTCCAGCTCCTCCTGCCCCCACCGTGCGACCCAGCTGGTGGGACCCCCTCCCTTGAAGGTTGCTCTGAGTCCCTTTCCTAGGAAAACGCAGCCCAAAGCGAAGCTGTTGAACTCTCCAGGGCTACAAACCATGAAGGATTTTTGGTACAAGAGCTTGCACAAGCTGGCTTTTCATCCAGGTTCAGAGGAGCAAAAGGTCCCCTGGTCCCAGCCTTCCTCCCAGCACAGTGAGTCCATCTCCTGTCCACTTGTACCATCACCTCAGGCTGAATTTCTCACCTCCTCCTTCTCCTCCACATGCACCTGACTAAGAAATTCTCTGCCAAACGCCCTTTGGTAGAAGGAGACCTGCAGAAAGCTGGGTGGCCACCATGGCACGTCTCTCAATTCCTGCTGGCTTGGTTTGTGCCAAAGGGCTTTTAGGCTGAGGTTCACCCAAGTTCAAAACCTGCATCCCAAATATCTCTCACCGGCTCCATCCCGCGCCACAGCTCGGCTTGGCCGGCTTCCCAGACACCACTCAGCGAGGCCCGGAGGGGCTGATAACGAGAGAAAAACTTGGCAAGGCACTGGGATTTTTTTCCTCCACCTTTTTTTTTTTTTGGCTTTCTGAGAAGACCTTCTGCAACACTTGAGGAAAGAGCAGATCTCCAGAGCTGCCTGTCCCACCTGGGAACCTGAAGATCTTGGGTGGACATCCCCAATGCAGGATGGTGCTGGCTTTGCATGAGGAGGAGATTATCCTTCCCCATGGTTTCTAGTGCTTTTTGGTAGTGAATAAAGCAGCTATTGTGTCCTCCAATAAGCCAGGGAAGGCCCAGTGGGGTAATTTGAAGGACTGTCATTGCCTGCAGCTTCAGAGGTCACATCCACGTCAGTAGGAGAGGATATTTCTTTGGGGGACCCTTGTAGCCTGGCTACTGCATGCTGGGGACACACAGGGCATTGCCTTGAGGAGCAGGACACAGCAGGAGCAGTGGCACAAGCTGTTGGCCGATGGCTCTGCAGGAGCAGAGGGGCCACCCTCCTCTGGGGCTCGGAGGGGGGAACAGGAGGGACAGGGGGATTAGGAGGCCTCGGCATGGAGCCAGGCAAGCTGTGACCCCGGGGAAGGACACACGGAAACCATCTGTCTCCAGGACAAGAGTTGCAAAGGCACGAGGTGGGGATGAACCAGCCCAGCTGGGCTGGAGATCACAGCAAAGGTGCCCAGGGCAGGTCCTCTGGAGGTAGGGACAGTGATAACTGTGCTGGTCCCACTGCATGGTCCCCAAACCCCATCTGTGGGGGCTCCTGAGCCCCACACATCTTACTACCAGCAGGTTTGCAGGGCAATTCCCGTCACACAGCTGGAACGGCACCTCCTGGATGGGTGTTTCCACCCAAATCCAGGGCTTTCCCCATCCTTGCCAGTCCCAGCCACTGGCATTCAGGTGCTGCACACCCAGACTCACCCTGTGACCCCCAGATTCACAGCACTTGATGACACTCCAGGGGTGTGCAGAGCCCAGAGCATCTCAGGAGACATCGCCCTGCCTGGCAGCGTGGGGGTCTGAGTCAGAAAGCCCCCAGGAAGAGATCTGAGTCACAGTATGAACTCTTCTCTCAGCCGTGGCACACCAGCCCTGCCGTCCCTGTCACCTCCTCGCTGCTTCACGAGGCAAAACATAAATCAACCGTAAGACACACAAGTGCTCGAGGAGAGCGGCCACGCTGCTGCCTTCACCCTGCTGCTGTCCTTCCACCCAGAAAAAATGACTTTGCCTCAAAAAGGAGCTGCTCTGGGAGGGGGAGAGCATTTATGAGCTGCCCATCTGGAGAAAAAACCCCAGTTTGCAACTGTCACCGGTGGCCCGTGTCCCCGTCACGAGGTGGTGTGTCGGGCTCTGGCTCCATCTGGAGCTAATTGAGGGCATGTGAGCAGCAATCTTCACCAAGGAGCAGCTCAGAGCCCCCACCAATTAGTGCCTGATCTCTAATTATCATTTCACCCCATGACCTGTTTGGGCAGGGGCTGGGCTGTTAATGCACCTTCCCCGCTTCGGACCTTGGTCAACACTTAGCCACCAAACCCAGCTGTGATGGTGGGGTGAACTGGTATGTAGTGGTGGAGAGATGCTGTTTGCCCCCTGATTGAGCCGAGCAGCCAGGGATGGCTCTCAAAATCTGAGCTCCCTGGAGGGTGTTGGAGCAGGTGCCACTAGATGTCAGCTAAACACAGCCCCATGGTTGCTGGAGCCACGTCGGGACATGTCCCATAGTCACGTGCTGAGGTTTTCCCCCATCCATCAGGAAGCACATCGTGGTGGTGGGGAACTGAGGTCCATGGGGACCCCAACAGACCAGGCTGGATGTGTCCCCCCATGGTGGCCAGGTTGGCATTAGCACCTAAGTCCAGGTTGGAGGGGGCTTGGAGCAACCTGGTGTGGTGGGAGGTGTCCCTGCCTGTGGTCACCTCTGTGCAGTGCGACTGCATGCCCCGTGTGCTACGGCATGGCCTGGGTGTACTCGGGATTAGTGCTACTGGACTGGACTTGTAGTAGGAAAAAATTTTGGGAAAAATGCCAACTCTCAGCCCTCCTGCTGGCAACGCTCGGGGGAACGACAACAGCAACTGCCCTCGCCCCTTCCCTCCACCAAGGTGCTCCAGGCAAGCTTGTCCCTGCTGAGCACAGCAAGCAGCAGGGTTCCAACAGGTGACAGCCACAATCACACCTGCCATCTTCCCAGCTGCTGAAAACACACAATTTTCCCCATTAAAAACAAAAAATGAATAGATAATTAAGATCGTCCCCTCTTCTTGCACTGTGCCCTGAGCGCAGCCGGGTCCCTGTCACTGCGCGGAGCTGCAAGGAGCCAGCAGATGGGGAGGGAATGGGGGTGGCTTTGGGGTTTTGGGGGTCCTGGTTCATTTTCCAGCCCTGCACTGGGGTCCCTGGGCAATCACGGCCTGGGACTTGGCAGCAGTTGTGATGGCATCCAAACTGCACCCCTACCCTCCGCCCCAGCACGTCATCCCCAGCAGGACCAGCTGGGACAGAGCATCCCAAAGGCTCCCCAGCTCCTGAGCAGGGAGCCATCGATAAAAAACCACATTTGCCATCAATAGTGATGATAAATCCCAGGGTCAGAGCTGTTCTGTTATTCATACAAACCCCCTTTCCAGGTTGCTGCAGTTGCTCCTCTCCACCACAGCATCCCCGCTGCCCTGCATCTCCCCAGCACCTCGGGATAAAAAACCACATTTGCCATCAATAGTGATGATAAATCCCAGGGTCAGAGCTGTTCCAGGTTGCTGCAGTTGCTCCTCTCCACCACAGCATCCCCGCTGCCCTGCACCTCAAGGTGACCACGTTGTGATCAGTAATTTCCCCCCAGACCATCACCTTCCCTTCTGTGCCCGCTCAGGTCTTCCTGAGTTTCTTCTCTCGCTCTTCCCTGGAGCACCAAGGTGATGGGTGTCCCACGAGCCCTGACAGTCCTCCCCGGGCCTCGACACTGCAGTGCCAACGTCAGCTGTCTCGTCAGCTTTGGATCCAAAATGGACTACTTCATGTTCACTTGTGCTAAGCTCCTCATAGCCCGCCCCCCCCGCCCCCGATGATTCTTTCTGAGGCATTAGCAGTGGATCCAATGTTAGTGCCATCAGCAGATTTCCTGGCATCAATTTCCTCTGGAACATCTTTAACCCCCAACTGAGCGCTTTGACCCTCGCACCAACCCTGTGGTGCCCCCTTGGCACTAGCAAGAACCCCATAGACTGACCCAAACAAGGGCAAACCCCTGCTTGGACCCTGTCCCCACCCCCATCTCCAGCTTACACTGGGAAATGCCAGGTTGAAAAACACCAAGTCTGGCCCACCGTGCATTGTGGAAAAGCTAGAAGTAACCAAACCCAGCATCTTTCTTGGGTCAGTCCCAGTTTTTGGGTTGAAACCCTTCCACCCTCCTTTCTTACCTTGATGTCCTCAGCTTCAGACTGGGTGCTCGTCTCCTCATAGAGGTCAGACTCCTCCGAGGCGATGGGGACTTGCACCGTCAGGTTGGGGTTGTTAATGAAATTCATGTGGTCCAGTTCATCCATGAAAAAATGCTCTTTGCCAGCGACTCCGTCCAAGTACTCCAACTTGATCTCCTGGCCAGTGTCCATGTGGTTTAACACAGAGTTGTCCCTCTTGCTGTGCTCTTGCTCTTCCTCCGGGGCCACCTTCTTCCCCTTCCACAGCCTGTGGAGCAGCGTCAGCAGAGATGCCTTTGCAAAGTCGATCCCCCTGGTGATCCTGCCAATAGCAATCTGCAAATTGTTCATCTCTCCATCGTCGTCGGACGCCGCCAGGCTATCGGCGCTGAAGGAGCTCAGCAGCAAAGCTAAGAACAGGTTCAGGACCTGCAGAGGACAAAAACAAATAGCAGCGCTGATGTGTGGCATGAACATCATCCCTGTAGGCATGGACCAGTCATGGCGATGGAGAAGACACCTTCATTGAGCATGTCATAGGACTCCCTCCTCCCGTTGCCTAGCTCTGGGGACTGCAGAGATGTCAACACTATCTCCTGAAGGACACAGACATGGTCCTCCTCACTCCTCCCTGGGCTGTGATCCCCTCAGTGTCACCTCCAGCTGCTTGGGTCCTGCTGATACATTTGCAAGCAATGTCAGTCATCACTACAGCCCCTCTCAAGCCACCTCCCGTGTGGGTCCATCAACATGTCTCCTGGAGCTCTTGGCCTGGCTGGTCCCTATGTGGGACTTCTCAAGCCTATGGTGCTTCTACCCACCACCCACAGGGATGCAACTCAGCTCCATTCCTTCTCTTCCCAGGGAGAAACCTCCTGCTTATTGTCCTCCCAGCTGCAACTCATCCTCTCATCTTTTCTGGCCTCAACTGTGCAGAGAGGTTCTGAAGGTCTCCAACACCCCGGAGCCATGTAGGATCCTCAGTCACAGCCATAACCTCATCCCTTTCTACCAGAGACTGCTTTGTTCCATGGAAAGTGGTATATTGTTACAGCACAGGTCAGCTCATAGCATCACAGAATGGTTTGGGTTGGACCTTAGAGCTCATCCAGTGCCACCCCCTGCCCTGGGCAGGGACACCTCCCACCACACCAGGTTGCTCCAAGCCCCCTCCAACCTGCCCTTGAACCCCTCCAGGGATGGGGCAGCCACAGCTTCTCTGGCCCCCACCAAACAAGTTCTTCCCCACATCTCAGCTCCATCTCCCCTCTTTCAGGGTCAAACCCTTCCCCCTCCTCCTAGGGCTCCCCTCCCTCATCAACAGTCCCTCCCCAGCTTTCCTGGAGCCTGGAGCCCCTTGAGTGACTGGAAGGGGCTCCAAGGTCTCCCTGGACCCTTCTCTTCTCCAGGCTGAACCCCCCCAACTCTTTCAGCCCCCCCTCCCAGCAGAGGGGCTCCAGCCCTCCCAGCATCTCTGTGGCCTCCTCTGGCCCCGCTCCAACAGCTCCATGTCCTTCCTGTGCTGAGGACTCCAGAGCTGGACACAGTGCTCCAGGTGGGGTCTTTCCAGAGCAGAGCAGAGGATCAGAATCACCTCCCTGGACCTGCTGGCCACGCTGCTGGAGGGATGCAGCCCAGGATGTGGATGAAAGTGCTCTATCTAGCTCCAAACAGGGGCTCTCTTCTGCTTCCCCCAGGTGTCTCTTGCCTCCCTGGCCCTGCTGGCCACGCTGCTGGAGGGATGCACCCCAGGCTGTGGATGAAAGTGCTCTATGTAGCTCCAAACACGGACTCTCTTCTGCTTCCCCCAGGTGGCTCTTGTTTCACCATGCCCAAAACGTGACTGGAGCCCACCGTGGCCTCGCCTGGCACGGGTGGACTCACTACGTGCCAGGAACCTGGAGCAGCTCACGAGAAGAGGAGCGGGATGGGTTCTCCGGGGGGTTTGGGAGCACCCGGCCACGCTGTGTGCGGAGCGGCCGATGGGCCAAGCCCACAGCTGTTGGTGTTTGTGCCTTTTTGTGCCAGCAGCGCATCTGAGACGGGAATTAGCTGCTATTCAAGGTCACTGCTGTTTTCACATGGCTCATGCCATATGACTTAAACCGCATCTTTAAATAAATCCCTACTATCCCACCAGTTTAATACTTAACGTTAAGTACCAATTACAGCTAATAGTTGCTGTTGGCTCCGGCTTTTTTGGACAGGAGTCCGTTACCTTGTCACCCGACTGACTTCCTCCCTTTTCCCTTAATAACCCCAAAGGAAATGCTCAAAGTGTCATTAACAGCAAAGGACAACCCGCCGCCGTCTTATTCCTGGGCAGAGGAAGTGGGGAGAAACACACACCTCCCTGCGGCCGGGATGCTCCGGAGGCTGCACGGCTTCAGCACTCGGAAATACCGGAGACACGGCCAGGAGAGCCTGGCAGAGGGGATGAAGAGGGCAGAGATGGCTTTGGAGGTGGTCATGCACCATATTTCTCTACTTAGCTTTAAAGGAACCCTGTGCAGCAGCACAGGACACAGCAGGAGCTGCAGGACACAGCAGGAGCTGCAGAGTGTGCCCAGAAAACTGGGGTGCAATCTCAAGGAGGGTTGCACCTCCGGGAGGACTGCCTCTGACCCCACCAGCTCAAAATCCTGATGCCCTCATATCATCCCCAGGAAAGTCTCCTGGATGGGCTGTCCAGCTCCAAAAACTGGCTCTGCAAGAGGAAAAGTCTGCAGAACCCCTTTTGGGGAGGATCTCCAGGGAGATTCCCAGTCTCTGAGTCCCTCTTCAGACTGTCCTGGAGATGCTCCTGCCACTTATGGGTGATTTTCAGCCTGGTTCAGCTGAAATGAAGGTGGTTCCCCCTTGTCAGATAGCATTCCAAGCCATTACTGACTGCTGGGTGATGGACAGCCCTGGGGCAGGGGGGTGACACGGAGCTGCTCCCCACCATCAGTTGTCACCCAGCACAGACCCCAGGAGACCCCAGGTCTCTGCAGCCAGCCCAGCTCTCCATGCTGCTATGGGGGGTGGGGGTGGGGAAAGTTCCAAGCCCCAAAAACCTGGTGTGAGCCAGGGAAACCAAGCAGCACCCAACTCCTGGCTTTCTACCCTCAAAGAAGGACACTCCAAGCTGTCCTACCCCTGACCCAAGCCATGGAGGGGTCTGGGTTTCCCCCTGGGGGCTTCTTTCACCCCACTGGAGGGCTGTGCCAGCCCGGGGCTGGAGCAGCCACCCGAGAGGCGTCAGCAACTCCCCGGGCAGATAGTTTTTCAAAGCAAATTCCAAAGGGCTTACACAACCCCCGGCAAGTAATAGGAGCGATTCGGCAAGCCGCCGCGCTTCCCTCCCCTGCCTCCCTCCTTAAGAAGGGCCCACGCAGCCTGGAAAACAAGCTTCAAAGCCTCCAGCGAGAGGGTTACCAAGTTTAGAAAGGATTTCACGCTCGCCTGGAACTTGCAGACCTGCAGCGCGGGCAGCGAGCAGCTCGGGTTAGCGGGGAGGGCAAGGGGCAGGGAGGGAGGGTGATGGTGACCAGGGGGTCACCAGGACCTGGGGGAAGGAGCCGTGGGCTGCAGAGGGGTCGTGCATCCCTGGGATGCCACCTGGACCGTGGGGAGGATTGGGGATGTTGGGGGTCTGCTCCCAAAAGCACCCAGGAGCAAAGGGCCAGCCCTGGGGCCAGCTGGATATAATGCTGTCTCCATCCCTCATCGCAGAAGAGTAGGAGATGGGGAAGGAAAGCCTGAAAAGCCACACGAAGAAAGGACAGCTCGAAGATGAGTTCTCTTTTGCCCCAGAGTTGCTCCTGTATCTGCCACAAGACCGTTGTTAAATTTTCCCTGCCTCAGTTTCCCCCTCTGTTCCTTCCTGATCTGGTTTCTGCTGAAAGTCCTTCAGAAATTGCTTCTTACCCTGCTTCACACAGAGCTGAGCACACAGCACATCCCCACTAGGGCTCCAGGAGGGCCTTGGCCTGTGCTTCTATACAGGTCCAACAAGACCATGCCTACAGGCATAGCCCGGTAGATGAGCTGAGATGGACAGCATTGGCCAGAGAGTGAGGGACAGAGGTGTCCCCACCCCATAACACCCTCCATCCTCACTCCCCACCCTTCACTGAGGGTCCACCCCAGCTCCAAGACTCACCACGAGGTTCCCGATGACCATGACCATCATGAAGACAATGAGGCACATGGTCTGGCCGGCCACCTCCATGCAGTCCCACATGGTCTCGATCCACTCCCCACAGAGGATGCGGAAGACGATGAGGAAGGAGTGGAAGAAGTCGTTCATGTGCCAGCGGGGCAGCGTGCAGTCGAGGGAGATCTTGCACACGCATTCTACGTAGCTCTTCCCAAAGAGCTGCATCCCCACCACAGCAAAGATGAAGACGATGATGGCCAGCACCAGCGTGAGGTTCCCCAGGGCACCCACCGAGTTACCGATGATCTTGATGAGCATGTTGAGGGTGGGCCAGGACTTGGCGAGCTTGAAAACCCTCATCTGCAAGGAGCAAGGAAACAAGGCATTGGTTTGCCTGGGGCTTTCATTGCCACAAGGTGTCAGCAAGGCAGCGAAGCTGGGATTAGACCTTCGTGTGGCAGTTTTATTAAGGCAGGAGAGATTAAACACCCAACTGTTTTGCAAAGAGCACAGATTCCGACTTTCCTAAATATTTAGCTCGACTGTCAGTGTTGTCTTTAACAGGGAACAAGTTGGTGATGACCATAAAGGAGACTGAGCGAGCCATTCTCCACCCTGGTGGCATCCAAAACCCCCCGGCCCAGCTCATCCCCATTGCAATCTCAAGGAGGGTTGCACCTCCGGGAGGACTGCCTCTGACCCCACCAGCTCAAAATCCTGATGCCCTCATATCATCCCCAGGAAAGTCTCCTGGATGGGCTGTCCAGCTCCAAAAACTGGCTCTGCAAGAGGAAAAGTCTGCAGAACTCCTTTTGGGGAGGATCTCCAGGGAGATTCCCAGTCTCTGAGTCCCTCTTCAGACTGTCCTGGAGATGCTCCTGCCACTTATGGGTGATTTTCAGCCTGGTTCAGCTGAAATGAAGGTGGTTCCCCCTTGTCAGATAGCATTCCAAGCCATTACTGACTGCTGGGTGATGGACAGCCCTGGGGCAGGGGGGTGACACGGAGCTGCTCCCCACCATCAGTTGTCACCCAGCACAGACCCCAGGAGACCCCAGGTCTCTGCAGCCAGCCCAGCTCTCCATGCTGCTATGGGGGGTGGGGGTGGGGAAAGTTCCAAGCCCCAAAAACCTGGTGTGAGCCAGGGAAACCAAGCAGCACCCAACTCCTGGCTTTCTACCCTCAAAGAAGGACACTCCAAGCTGTCCTACCCCTGACCCAAGCCATGGAGGGGTCTGGGTTTCCCCCTGGGGGCTTCTTTCACCCCACTGGAGGGCTGTGCCAGCCCGGGGCTGGAGCAGCCACCCGAGAGGCGTCAGCAACTCCCCGGGCAGATAGTTTTTCAAAGCAAATTCCAAAGGGCTTACACAACCCCCGGCAAGTAATAGGAGCGATTCGGCAAGCCGCCGCGCTTCCCTCCCCTGCCTCCCTCCTTAAGAAGGGCCCACGCAGCCTGGAAAACAAGCTTCAAAGCCTCCAGCGAGAGGGTTACCAAGTTTAGAAAGGATTTCACGCTCGCCTGGAACTTGCAGACCTGCAGCGCGGGCAGCGAGCAGCTCGGGTTAGCGGGGAGGGCAAGGGGCAGGGAGGGAGGGTGATGGTGACCAGGGGGTCACCAGGACCTGGGGGAAGGAGCCGTGGGCTGCAGAGGGGTCGTGCATCCCTGGGATGCCACCTGGACCGTGGGGAGGATTGGGGATGTTGGGGGTCTGCTCCCAAAAGCACCCAGGAGCAAAAGGCCAGCCCTGGGGCCAGCTGGATATAATGCTGTCTCCATCCCTCATCACAGGAGAGTAGGAGATGGGGAAGGAAAGCCTGAAAAGCCACGTGAAGAAAGGACAGCTCAAAGATGAGTTCTCTTTTGCCCCAGAGTTGCTCCTGTATCTGCCACAAGACCGTTGTTAAATTTTCCCTGCCTCAGTTTCCCCCTCTGTTCCTTCCTGATCTGGTTTCTGCTGAAAGTCCTTCAGAAATTGCTTCTTACCCTGCTTCACACAGAGCTGAGCACACAGCACATCCCCACTGGGTCTCCAGGAGGCCTTGGCCTGTGCTTCTATACAGCTCCAACAAGACCATGCCTACAGGCATAGCCCGGTAGATGAGCTGAGATGGACAGCATTGGCCAGAGAGTGAGGGACAGAGGTGTCCCCACCCCATAACACCCTCCATCCTCACTCCCCACCCTTCACTGAGGGTCCACCCCAGCTCCAAGACTCACCACGAGGTTCCCGATGACCATGACCATCATGAAGACAATGAGGCACATGGTCTGGCCGGCCACCTCCATGCAGTCCCACATGGTCTCGATCCACTCCCCGCAGAGGATGCGGAAGACGATGAGGAAGGAGTGGAAGAAGTCGTTCATGTGCCAGCGGGGCAGCGTGCAGTCGAGGGAGATCTTGCACACGCATTCTACGTAGCTCTTCCCAAAGAGCTGCATCCCCACCACAGCAAAGATGAAGACGATGATGGCCAGCACCAGCGTGAGGTTCCCCAGGGCACCCACCGAGTTACCGATGATCTTGATGAGCATGTTGAGGGTGGGCCAGGACTTGGCGAGCTTGAAAACCCTCATCTGCAAGGAGCAAGGAAACAAGGCATTGGTTTGCCTGGGGCTTTCATTGCCACAAGGTGTCAGCAAGGCAGCGAAGCTGGGATTAGACCTTCGTGTGGCAGTTTTATTAAGGCAGGAGAGATTAAACACCCAACTGTTTTGCAAAGAGCACAGATTCCGACTTTCCTAAATATTTAGCTCGACTGTCAGTGTTGTCTTTAACAGGGAACAAGTTGGTGATGACCATAAAGGAGGCTGAACGAGCCATTCTCCACCCTGGTGGCAAATGCATCCAAAACCCCCCAGCCCAGCTCATCCCCACGGCACGTACCAAGCGGAAGGAGCGGAGCACGGAGAGCCCTTGCACGTTGGCCAGGCCCAACTCCACCAGGCTGAGAGTGACGATGAAGCTGTCAAAGATATTCCAGCCCTGCTGGAAATACTCGTAGGGGTCCAAGGCAATGAGCTTCAGGACCATCTCCGCTGTGAAGATCCCTGTAAAGACCTGTGGGAAACAGCAACCCATCAGCTTGCTTGAAAGCCAGTGCTTGGTATGGGGCAGGCAGCACCTCTCCTGTTTTGGGGTACTTCCAAAGTGTTTCATCCCAGTGGGTCCAGCCCTGGTTGAGAAGGAGCTCCCCAGTGTGGGTTGTGGAGCCAGACTGGGCATACTGTCCAGTTGGACTGGATCATCTCCAGAGCTCCCTTCCAACCCCAAACCTTCTGTGATTCTGTGATCCCAGGGGATGCTCCTCAACATCCCTCTTTGCGTTTAATCCCACAAACGTCCCTTTTCTCCTTCCCTGCTCTCTTCAGTGCCTGCAGCAAGATGGGCAGCACACACTGATGCCTTCATCTCGGGCGCAGGCAGGTGATGCTGGGGGAGACCGTGGCTCAGTGGGAGCTGCTTCTCCAGACCAATTGCTACCAGAGAGACTTGGCAAAGGTGCGTGTCGGCCGGCGGAAATTAAAAATAAAAGCCTCTTTGGCAAAGGGACCCCTTTCAAATGACTGCTGAATCACAGGGATTCCCAGCACCGGGAACTGGGCTGCTACTGGGATGCCCCTGCCCCTCCCCGAGCCCTGCGAAAGCTGATCCGGCTTTTACACATTATGCTTTTCCTGGGACCACAACGGCGGGGTCATTATCACATTACTCCGGAGTGGGATCAGCAATGTGGCAATTAGCATCCTTGATGTAATTTCCCGACACGGCGTGTGCAGGGGGGGCCCAGTGGCAAATTCCACCCTGGATGCGGATCGAGTCGGGATGCGCAGGTCCCTGCCTCCAACTGTGCAGAAAGGCTGCTGCACCAGCATCAGGGCTATGAAGATGATGAGGGGACCAGAACATCTCTCTGATGAGGGAAAGCTGAGGGACTTGGGTCTTTTTAGGTTGGAGAAACAAAGGCTGAGGGGGGATCTGATCAACACCTATAAATACTTCAAGGGTGCGTGTCAGGAGGATGGGGCTGGTCTTTTTTCAGTGGTGCCCAGGGACAGGACAAGAGGGAACGGGCACAAACTTGAACATAGGAAGTTCCATCTCAACATGAGGAGGAGCTTCTTTGCTGTGAGGGTGGCAGAGCCCTGGCAGAGGCTGCCCAGAGAGGTGGTGGAGTCTCCTTCTCTGGAGACATTCAAACCCACCTGGACACGTTCCTGTGGGACCTGCTCTGGGTGACCCTGCTCTGGCAGGGGGTTGGACTGGATGGTCTCCAGAGGTCCCTTCCAACCCCAAAACCTTCTGTGATTCTTTGATCCTGTGATCCCAGGGGATGCTCCTCAACATCCCCCTTTGCATTTAATCTCACAAATGTCCCTTTTCTGCTTCCCTGCTCTCTTCACTTACAGCCTGACCATCCTTCTGCCTGCAGCAGGCACTGATGCCTTCATCTCGGGCACAGGCAGGTGATGCTGGGGGAGACCGTAGCTCAGTGGGAGCTTCTTCTCCTGCTCCCATCCCTTCCTGGCCCTTCCCCAGCAAATCACCCCCATCCCCACCGGCACCGGGGCGTACAGGCAGCCAGAAGCTGCTGCTGGCCTGAAAGGAACAGCTTGGAGCCGTCTTTGCAGCCTGACCATGCTTCGAGCAACAGCCAATTAATCCCCTTGTATTTCCTGAATGAAACCAGAGACAAAGCAGCTATGTGCCCAGCGTCATCCTGCCCGCCCGGGGCTCGGGCACCGGCATGTGTCACTCCGTGCTCCGGGCACAGAGAGGCTCCGGCAGGCGTTGGAGCAGGGCAAAGGCAGCAGGAAAGGAGACAGTGAGCTCTTCCCACCCTTCAGCTGCATTTCCCAAAACCACCCAAGAGCCTCCTGGACCTGTCCCACCAGCAGGTTGCACCCAGCTGGAAGCCCTTTACCCAGAGCTCCAAGCAGGACCAGCCACAGCTGGTTGCTCGATATGCCCACGAAATCGGAACAGCCTGGATTTGCAGTGATTTCACTGGGAAAAGTCCTGATTATTATTATTTTTCACTGCTGCCTCCTGCTGCACGGGGACCTGTTTGGTCCCAGCGTCTGAATGGCCCCTGCTCTGCCCTGTGGCCACCCAGCATCACTGGGGACACTGTGGGGTGTCCAGGGCCGGCAGCAGCTCGTGCCTGACCCTGTGGAAGATGGTTCAGGAGAGCTCTGCAAGGTCATGGCCACATTGTCAAAGACAAGATGCACCAGATGAGACAGAAGCTGCAGCAGAAGGTGGAGCAGGGGGTGATACATCCCACCAACATATCACTTCCCTTGATCTGAGCTGTCCTGGAGCCCGACCCACCTCAGGGATGCTGGGACAACACCCCCCTCTACCCCCAGCCTGAGGACTTTCACAGCAGCTGGGAGGTGTTTCCAGGCAAGTATAGCATCACAAAACCTGACCCTGTGGAAGATGGTTCAGGAGAGCTTTGCAAGGTCATGACCACATTGTCAAAGACAAGATGCACCAGCTGAGACAGAAGCTGCAGCAGAAGGTGGAACAGGGGGTGATACATCCCACCAACATATCAATTCCCTTGATCTGAGCTGTCCTGGAGCCCGACCCACCTCAGGGATGCTGGGACAACACCCCCCTCTACCCCCAGCCTGAGGACTTTCACAGCAGCTGGGAGGTGTTTCCAGGCAAGTATAGCATCACAAAACGGTTTGGGTTGGAAGGGAACTCAAAGCCCCCCCAGTGCCACCCCCTGCCCTGGGCAGGGACACCTCCCACCACACCAGGTTGCTCCAAGCAACCCCTCCTTGAACCCCTCCAGGGATGGGGCAACCACAGCTTCTCTGGCCAACCTGGGCCAGGCTCTCACCACCCTCACACCAAACAAGTTCTTCCCCACAGCTCACCTCAATCTCCCCTCTTCCATTTGAAGCAATCAATCACCCCTCCTCCTATCTCTACATGCCCTTGTAAAAAAATCCTTATCCAGCTTTCTGGTAACATGATGGCAGCAGAGGGGAGGTGCCCACCAAGGTGGATGGTGTGGCTGCTGTTGCTCAAAATAGGGAAGGACGCGACGTCCGTAGCTACTTACCAGGTTTCCCACGGTCAGCACATTCTCGAACTCCTCTGTCATGGGGTAATGCTCCATGGCCATGAAGACTGTGTTAAGCACAATGCAGATAGTGATGCCCAAGTCCACAAAGGGATCCATCACCACCATCTTGACAAATTCCTTCAGCTTCACCCACAGAGGACAGCAGTTCCAGACCAGGAAAGTGTGGGCAAATTTGTACCACCAGGGTGGGCACTTCTGGTGAGCTTCCTCCAGCTCTGAGGGCAGGAAGGAAAAAAAGACATCAGCGCAGGCTTCTCCTGTCTTCCCCTGAGCGGGCCAAGTGCTAACCCCCTAGAAGGGACCTCTCCTGAGGTCCTGAACAAGCCTTAGACCATTTATGAGTTTCATATGGGGGCTAAAAGGAGGAGTCTTCCCATGTCCAGACAGTGATATTGCAGACCTTACCCTCCAACCCAGAGGGGGAAGGAAAGGCAGATCATTGAGGGAACTGTGGGTCCAAACCTGCTCTCAGCACCCAGGCAGGATTTGAGGTGTCCCTCCCACGCTGAGATGGCAGGGGCACCCAAGGGAACTGCCCTGGTGTGGCTGGATGGCTCAGTGCCCACCCCCAGGGAGGTCAGGGCTGAGGAGCCTGTTATTGCTGAGCCCATGGTCGTTTTTGCTGAAGTTGAGACAACGGCTCTTGGGAAGCCACTCAACAGCTCTTGATTGACTCTGGGATGACTCTAGGAGGATGCTGGGATGAAAAGCCTTGCTCGAGCATCACTGCAGTGCCCTGACCACAACTGGGGGCCCCAGGTCCAGAGTCACCCCTCACACAGGGCTGGAGATGTGGGACAGGCACTTGTCACTGGTGTGTGCAGAGCACCCCAAGACCTCCAACACACAACATTGGGTCTAAACCAGCCAGCACACACAGCCCTCGCCCAGGCTGGAGGAGGATGTACCTTCCACAGCGTTGGAGATGACACTGATGGCGCTCCCCACCCTCTTCTCGAGGCCTGGCCCATCTTGGTTGCCCACGGTGAGGTGGTTGGGGTCTGATTTTTCTGGCTCATTGGTTGGGTTGAACTAGAAGGAGAGGAGGCCACAGGGGGTGAATGTAGAGCAGGGTATTTAATGCACTTAAAGATAGAGCAGGCAAATAAAAAAGGGGGCATGGTCTGGAGAGACCTTGGGGTGCAACACGGGAGCTGCAGGTGGGCTGCAGAAAGGCTTGTAGGACCTGACCCACAAGCTGGTCACAAGCCTGTCCCTCCACTGGGGTTTGCTGGGGTGGGCACCCTCAAAGGATGGCAGAGACAGAGCCGAGCACGTACGTCAACCACTGTCGCAGACCGCTCCAGGACCACCTTGGGGACCACTTGCCCATTGCAGTCCTTTGCCTTGTCCTGGTCACTGTTGAGGTCCGAGTCATGGTCCTCCTGGGCCACGCTGCTGGGCAGGGAACCGCTGCTGGACCGTCGTTCCTGCAACTGCAGCAACACACATCTCCATCATCTCCACCCGTCCATAGCCATCAGCAGGTCCCACAATCGCTATGGGCCACCAGGCTGAGGAGAGGGTGAATTGAGCCCCAGGACCATTCTGAGCAGGTCTTTGTGGCTCCCAAAGTCTGCTGCCACAGGACCTGGGCAGAGGTGAGCTCATCAGCAAACTCGGATGCTCTGGAGCAACAAGGAGGGATAACAATTTGCTGCAGCCAGACACATGCCTGAGGTCACAGGCTTTTCCCTTTTTGCTGCTTCACGATCTGGGCAGGGTGAGTAATTCAGAAAGACAGAAGTATGGCAACCCCCTAATTTCTCTCTTGCAGGAAATTTTGATCTTTGAAACACGCTCTCATCCCAAAAGGAAAAGCAGCAAAACCTTCAAGGCTCTTGCTGAAAATGTATCATCCAAGACTTTTGGACTTGCAATGAGTTTGTGAATGTTTGGGTCAAAATTTGAAATTTTTTTCCCCCCAAATGTTGTTTTATTTGATTTTCGCAATGAGTTTGTGAATGTTTGGGTCAAAATTTGAATTTTTTTTCCCTCAAATGTTGTTTTATTTGATTTTCATTTGCACATGCAATCCTTCCCTTTTTTTTTTTTTTTTTTTTCCTTTCCAACAGTGCTATTAATATTTGAAGTTTACTGCACCCTCTGGTAGCACTAAGGATGTCACAGGGGAGAGGGAAACCCTCTGTTCCAGCTGCACATCGCTGAGATCAAACACGATTTCCATGCTCAGGCACTGGATATTAAATGGGTCCAAACACCCATGTCTTGGAGTGCTTTGCCCTAAATCTCAGCCTTATTTCCCCTGACTTCTCCATTTCTCTAGGTGGCAATAAACAAATAATAAAGCCTTTGGGCACCTCACTGGTTAATTTGTTCAGGGAACGGGCCATGGCATCAGCTTTATGCCCAGCCCTGGTGTCCCCATCCCTTGGGCAGGACCTGCTGAGACCCATCCTGCCAACAGCAGGAGCCAGATAAGAGCAAAGCCACTTCCTCAGAGGATGTTGTTGCTTGGCACAGATAAGCACTGAGAGATAGAGGCTCTAGAGAGAGGAAAACACTGTTTTGTGTCTCTCTCTACATGCGAGGAAGCTGGTCTTTTGCCCGGACTAACAGTTAGATTTGCAGGGATGTCTCCTGCGGACCTTGCTGACACTGGCCAAAACGATGAGTAGAGATTGGAAATAGCTGGGCTGCAGCATCAGACATCACAGAAGCTTTTTCTCGCATTTTTAGAGGCAAATTGTGCTGAAAAGCAACTCCTAAGGACTGGAAAAGGGCTAGGATAACATAATCTCTCCGTCCCCCTCTTCTCTTTCCAGTCTTGGCCAAAGCAGAATGGTTTCCTAACGCATTTAGCCCTGCTGCAACTGCCCTGGCTTCCTTGAGTGCTTCTTTTGTACCCTGATCATAATCTGCCTGCCCAGGCTCCCTGCCAGGTTTCCTGCTCTTGACGCGCTGCAGGAAGACATATTGTTAGCTCTGGGGCCTTTTACGCCTTGTGTCTCACCTCCTCCTCTTCAAACAACGCCGCACCCCCGTGCTGCACCTCTCTGCTGCCTCCCAGTGCTCCCTGTGCTGGATTTTCCACGTGGAAAATAAATCTTTTCAGCCTTTCCACCATCCTCAGGGTAGTATCTCGACTATTTGATTCAGGTGAGACCCCCAAAATAGTTATTCTCAGTTATTCTCCCTTGAAGGAGATTGTAGCCAGGTGGGGGTCTGTTCCTTCTCCCAAGGAACAGGCAATGGGACAAGAGGAAATGGCCTCAAGTGGCACCAGGGGAGGTTCAGGATGGATATTAGGAAAAAATTCTTTACAGAAAGGGTTATTCAGCACTGGAACAAGAGGCCCAGGGAAGGGGTGGAGTAACCTCACCATCTCTGGTGGTATTTAAAAGCCAGGCAGACATGGTGCTGAGGAACATGGGTCAGTGGTGGTTTGGGCAGTGTTGGGTTGATGGTTGGACTTGATGATCTGAACGGTCCCTTCCAACCTCAACCATTCTATGATTCCAATTATTACCTTTGCTTACTATGGACCAAATGGGGTTTATTCTTGGATTTTATGTAGAGGCACCAGCATGCTTGTTGCTGCTTCCCCTTTTCTCCCCCTATTCCCAAGGTCCCTCATTTTGTCTTCCACACTTTCCACCCACCATCCTCTCTTGCTCCTCTTGGTGCTTCTTCAGCTGCTCCATGAGCTGCTGAAATTCCTCCTCCTTCTGCTGCTCCTCCAGCAACGTGGCGTCGTTTTGCTCTGCGTAAGCCATGGCCACCACTGCCAGGATGAGGTTGATGAGGTAGAAGGAACCAAGAAATATAACCACCACGAAGAAGATCATGTACGTTTTCCCTGCTGCACGCAGCGTCTGTGGAAAGAGGAGGCAGGGGCTGTCACACCACCTTGGCACGATATCAGTTTGGTGATTCTTTCAACGAAAGGTCTTGCACCAGGGCACCCTCCCCTTTGTGGAGTACAATATTTTGCTCCCATCTTCCCCAAGGGCTGGTCATTGCACAGTTGACCTTCCTGCAGTCCATGGCATTGGGTTAGGACTTGTGTGAAATGGCCAGAAGTCTCAGCAAACCCAGCCAAGCTATCTGGTAGCCCAAGGGCTGCAAGCATGTATGGAGATGGGACCAGTATTTCACCAGAGAGTCCTTTCGCTGTGGCAGGGGCTGATGTCTCTCAGCCCCCAACTTCTCAGGTCTCCCCCTTGGGCCAAGACCAGCCCTTTTCTAACTCCAGATCTGGGCATCATCATTTCCAGAGGACACGTGTAGCCTTCAGACATGGGCTTGCTTTTATCTAAACAGTCCCTGGACGCAGGGTCAGCTGAAAATTCATGATGTCTGCAATGTCTCCCTAAAGGGTGATTCAGCCCAGGGGACAAACGACCTGGCTTTCCCCCTTACCCTCTCCCTTAGCTCAAGCCAGAGAGGTACTGGATACTCCTGTAAATCCCCCATTTCCATGACACAGCTGAAGCAAACCTGGGCTTTGCCCTGGAAAACACACTGCACTGCTCAGGTTGGGGAGCTAGGTGGGACCGTGCCCCATCTCCACTGATTCTGGTCAGATCCATACCTCATGGGACAAGGTCCCACAGCTTTCCACTCATGGACTTCTTCCATGTTCTATGCCAGGGGCAGCATCAAAACAAGAGGAGTATTTGCACAAGGATAAAAATTCCCACCGAGTCCCTGTACCCACCCATGAGGGTCCCACGGGCACCTACCAGCTGGAAAAGGTTCTCCCAGAAGTCCTGCGTCATGAGGCGGAAGAGGGCCAGGAAAGCCCAGCTGAAGGTGTCGTAGCTGGTATAGCCATAGTTGGGGTTCCTCCCCGCCTTCATGCACTGGTAGCCTTCAGGGCACTTCCTACCAAAGGAGCCGCGGGGGCAGCCGGTGTGAGCCCCTGGTGCTGCCCCTCCTGAGCCCTCAGCGAAATGCTCCATCCCTGGAGGTGCTGAGATACTTCATCAGGAGCCCCCACCCCAAGCTGATACAGTCCAGATCAACACCCCCTCCAAGCTGATACAGTCGGATGCCTGGACTGATACCCCCTCCAAGCTGATACAGCTGGAATTCCTGGACCATCCACCTGCAAAGCCATGTTCCCAGCCCCAGTCCTGTCCCATCCCAAGCATCAGTGGTCCCACAGGCTGCACTGGCTGCCTTGTCCCCTCCCGCAGAGCCAAAGGGGACCCTGGCCACCAGCGTGAGCTGCACTCACCCAGCATCACTGCTGTTCCCGCAGAGCAGGGCATCAAGCGCTCCCTCCAGAAAGTAGAAATTGGCTTTGCATTTGGGGAAAGAACAAGAGATTTAAAAAAAAAAAAATAAAAAGAAAGAATAAATACAAACATTGATTTTTAAATTCTTGGCAGTTCCTCGCTGTTAGCGAAATTCCCCAAATCCCAGCATTCCAGCGTTGGGCACTGGGTCATCTTCTGTCTGCTGACTTTGCTGTTTTGCATTGAACTACTTGGCAGTAGGTCAGGGACCTCATGGCTGTGCTTCACTGACCCAACTAGGTGGCTCCCAAGGCCATAAAGAGCTCTGGAAACATCCAGGTTGGCTGGAGTCGGGCCTCCTGAGAAGGTGGGTTAACACCTACTCAAAGGACCAGGGCTGCTGTTTTGCTGCAAAAATGTACAAAATAGCAGGACATCACCCGGGAGCACCAGGAGTCCCCCCATGGGGAATTGCAGGGGTCCCCAAAAAGCCTGGGGAGATGCTCTGCTACTGCTCCATGGCCATCACCTTCCTCCTGCAGCTCCCATTCCAACCAGCCCCTACCTTGTGGGGAAATCCATCCCCACTCACAGACCAGGGGTCCTTAAATCTCCTCTTTACAGCTCAAGGACAGACTCAGAACCATAGAGCTGCCCAGAAGTGCCACCAGAGGTGGCCACCTGCCCCCAGGGACACACAGATGAATACCTGAAGACACCCACCCCAGGACATGGCAGAGGGCAGCTGGACCCCATCCTGGGCATCACAGCCCTTCCAGGAGCCACGCAGGGATTTCTGGAGCTCCCTCAAAGCATCCCCGGCTCTGCCTGGCTTCTTGCCACCAGGCTTTTATATAACCTGTGTGGGCCCGTGGAGGAGATATCCTGCTGGTGAAACTCCAGGAGATGTGTTTTTGGCCTGGCCCCAGTAGCTGTTAACCCGAATGCACGGCCGCAGGGTGCTGTTGCTATTTGCACTGCGCTCATTAGATCCTATATATTGAATTTGCACCCCTACCAAGAAACCTTCCTGTAATTAATGCCCAAGCTACTTGTACAGTTGGGCAAAGCAGCTCAGCTGAGACGTAACCCGACCTTCTGCTGAGCTCTGCCGAGTGCCCTAAACGAGACGTGAAACATCCCCGTGGAGCATCCTGCCACTGCTCAGCTCTGCTGGGCAGGTTTTCTGAGACTTTTTACATTTTCATGGAGTTAGAAAAACTCCAAACCAAGGAATAAACCCAAAAAACCCACCACACTTTTCTGTGCCAATCGTGTTTCAAAGAAGCGGTAGGAAAGTAGCAAACTTGAAGACCTTTCCAAGGACCTGTGCTTGATCCCACATCTCCCCCCTTCCCCTGTTCTTGGCTGTCGTGGTGTTGCATGCAATGCTCACTGGACACGGCGGTACTTGGGGAAGGACCCAGCTGTGACACAACAGTGAAAGTGGCTGAGAAAAATGTCATTCCTGCATCCTTCCATCTGGTTTTCTGCCCCAAATCCCATCTGTTCCTGGAGGGTTGGGTCTCCCTGCTGTGACTGGCTGGATGGAGCAGCTGATCCCCAAGGAGGAGATTGTGCCCTCACTAGCAAGTGATAAGAGGTGGACACCCTGGTGTCCACCTTCCCATGGTGAAACCTTCCTGGAGGAGTTTAGCCTGCCCAGGTGGACTGCATTTTCCCTGGCAAGGTGGATTTGATCCCATCTCTCCATCCTGTGACTATGCAACACCCCTATTTCACCCACCAGCCACGTCTCTCCCTGCAAAGCACCTCAAGCAGGAAGATCCATGCAAGGAAACCATCTTGATCTGGTACAGAGGAAGACTGAGGAGCAAACCAGGGTGATGGGACAATGGAGAAGGACATGCATGAGCATTTACCTTCATCGTTGATGTAGGCCTCGAAATCAAAGGTGCTGTTACTGGTGAAGTTGCTGGTGAAATTGCCGATCATGCCATCAGTGAAGTTGCTGATGATGTCATCAGTGAAGTTGCCATAGAGCGTTGTGTTGACGAATGTGTCATTCTCCAGCCCAAAGTCCCCTAGCAGGGTGTCATTGGGGGGGGGCCACCGCACACACTTCTGTCGGAGGTTCCCCATGAAGAGCTGGAGACCGATGAGGGCAAACACGCTGAGGCAGAAGACGGTGAGGATCATGACGTCTGAGAGCTTCTTCACCGACTGGATCAGAGCCCCAACGATTGTCTTCAGCCCTAAGGGGGAGGTGTTACTACTGAGCTAATGGCTTGTTTGCTAATTGTGGAGAAGGTGCTATGGTATTCCCGAAAAGTATGGATCTGGTGGGGACATGTGGTGTCACCAACTTCACCCCATGTGCTCACACCCCAAGCTCTGAGCCACACGTTGCATCCCAGTTGCCCCTTTGTCCCCACACGTTGCTGGGCAGCCTAAACCCTTCTCCCACAGCTGTCACCCTTGGACCAGTGTCAGCCAAGCCTCCCCATGCCAACCTGAACCCGGGTATCACAAACCAACGCCCACCCCAGCCTGGCAGTCATCAATTCCTTTTGGCTTTAAGTTTTGCCCAGATGCCAAGATTTGGCCTTTTTTGGCCGAAACCACTCCAGTAGACCACTTTGCTGTGGCACATGGAAAAGCTATTTGCCAGCCCCACTGGAAGATGCTGAGCACTGCTCTCAGCTCCAGAAAAGCCTCTGTGGTCCAACGCCCCCACACACTGCTGTCCCATGGGTGGTTGGGAGCCCAGACAGACCCTCCAGCCTGAGTCCTTCAAGCTGGAGAAACCCCAAAGCATCTGAGCAGAAGTGACAAAGTGACATTTGCATTAAACATCAGGATTAACTCATCTCTCCCCCCCCAGCATCGCCGTTTCCTCCACAGAGGGGGCTCACCCACAGATCCTCACAGAGCTTTTGACATGGAGGATGATGTTCCTGTCACCCAAGGTCTACAAGGATGATGGGTGATGCTGGGACACCCTGACATTGATCTTAAAAGCAGCTCTGAGCACAGAGCTTTCTCACGTGGAGGCCGTTCTCTGAAGACACATGATTTTTTATCCCTGTCATCTTGCCAGTTCCCCCCGCTCTCAGAACTGTTTAGGTAAAACCCTGTTCTCCAAGGGCTTGTCTGTGTTGGGAAACTGCTGAGGAGAGACGTTCTAAAACCGATTATTTTTGCAACTGCTATTTCTGCAAAGCCTCTTGGGGGGATGTCATTCCAGAAAGAAGCGGCAGCTTACGTTTTCCTAAATGCAATTTTTAGCCTGTTTGATGGAGGCAAAAAAACCCCATTCAAATACGAACCCTAAAGATCTGAAAACTGCAGAGACAAGAATTTATTCACTGCAAGAAATGATCATTTTCAGTTCAAGCTCATGCTTCTTCAAGGGGTTTGACCTACAGACAAGAATTTATTCACTGCAAGAAATGATAATTTTCAGTTCAATCTCATGCTTCTTCAAGGGGTTTTGACCTATCATTTCTGTGAGCTTGCACTAGGTGGTACCAAAGCAGGGTATTGAAATGGCATCAACATTTGGGAAACAGCCACTAATACGGCAGGCTGGACATCTGGGGTGATTTTAAACATTCACCATATGGCTCTTGCACTAATTCCCATTAAATATCTCAACCCTGGCACCAGAGCAGTCAGCTGTGGGGACAAAAATGAGTTTATGGCTCTGAGGAGCAAGCAAAGCCCATAAACACAACGTGAGCTCAAGCTCACTTGAGGAACCCTAAAAAACACCACGTCTGGCTCATCAGGAGCTTTCCCTGGCCAAACAACCGAGTGAGCACAGCTCATTTCAAGATATAAAATCATCAGGACCTGACCCAAAAGCCGAATTATGTGGAAAATTATTCATAAATATTGAATACCTTATTTCCTCTGTTTTCTCTTAGAGCTGCCAAAAGAACAAGGAATTGCTGTGAACTGTGGGAAAACCCAAGCCCGGGGAAAGGGAAGGTATGGAGAGGAGACCCCTTCTTTATGTCTCACCTGGTATCACGGTGATAGTTTTCAAGGCACGGAGGACACGGAAGGTCCTGAGAGCAGAGATGTTCCCCAGGTCCACGAACTCGGTAATGTAGCTGCAGGACAGGAGAGGAAAGGGTTTCAAGGGCTCTGCATGGAACCCACCCTCCTGTTTCTCAGCCTTCCTCCCCAGTGTCCTCCCCTGGGTGCAGTGGTCAGAACTCCTGTCCACCCCCCATCCCACCAAACTCACGCCATGGAGATGACCATGAAGTCCAGCCAATTCCACGGGTCGCGCAGGAATGTGAAGTCGTCGATGCAGAAGCCTCTCGACAGTATCTTGATGAGGGACTCGAAGGTGTATATCCCAGTGAAGGTGTATCTGAAACGGGAATGGTCACTCAGGGGATGTTCACCTGGGTCCAAGGGCCAGCTCAGGACGGGGTTTTGTCCACCCCTGACAGTGGGTGGACCCATCCTGGGGAGCTCAGTTCGGGGGGACACTGGGTTCTTCAGGTGCTTTGGTATTGGGGAAGGTTTTCACCTCATAAGGCCAGTTGGGCCAGTCCCTTTAGTGACTATTCTGTAACATCTCTGATCCCTGCTGATGTCCCACACCACCATGCTCTGAAAATCCTGCTGAGATCTGACTGTGCAGAACCACAGCAGAAAATGCTGGATTTTCCCCTCTCACCTGGGACTGGTTGTCCATACTCCTTGGACTGGTACATCTATGTATTCTATGATCTGCTCAGCCCCTCCAGACTATCCCTGCTGACCTGACCTGCTCTGCAGTGGTCTCCTGTCACAGGGTCCCCACCAGATTTTGGGCAGCTCTGAAACACTCCACTCTTTGCAATGCCTAATGCAGAGCATGGACATCCCTTTTGGCCAAGAGGCCACCAGCATCTCCCAGTGACACCTCTCCTCATCTGAGGTGCCTGGATACCACCACCACTCTCTCATCCTTGGTCCTGTCCCTCCTGAGGATGGCCAACTTGGGATGGCCCCCTTGGCTGGGGGAGGTCGCTGGAGGCAGGAACTTACTCCACGTTCTTGGACCACGCTGGGGGGTTGCTCAGCGTCATAAACACACAGTTGGTTAAAATCGTGATCATGATGAACATGCTGAATAATTTAAAACTTGGTCAAGGAGAAATGCTGTGGCTGTTGCCAGATTCCCCCCTTCACACAGTTATGAAGCCAAGCCCCCCAACTCCTCCTGTCCTGGTACCCACCTTGGTCCCATGCCCTGGCCTGCTCCTCCTGCAGCTCTCTCCTGGCTCAGTCCTGTGGTCACTCTTTCTCCTTAGTTTTCCCCTTAGTCTTGGCCCCTACCCTCCCTTTCTGCTCTCCTCCCCATCTCTGTGGCTCTGCCTCCTTTCTTGTCCCCTGTGTTCCTTCCTCTCCATCAACCCAGGATACAGCCTTCCTCACTTCTCTGATCCCTCTACAACATACACCCCCTTCCTTTTCCTCCTGCCTCCTGGCCACCAACCCCTGTTGCCACCAGAGCTCTGCTGGGATCACTTCCCATCCATCCTAGTGCCCCTCTTGCTCTGGGGGTCCTTTCCTTTCTTTCCATCTCTGCTTGTCTCACACCAAAAGCCCCAAGTTGCCTCCTCCCCTGTACCTCAATGCTATGGTTCTCTGTCTTCCTTCTCCCAAAGTATCCTTTGAGCTCCCCAATTCACCCACTTCCCAGATGGGTCAGGAGCCCCTGACCTGTAAATATTTTCCTTCCTTTCCAAGTATCTCTAGACCTCTGGGACCCTGAAGCTAGGAAGCTTCACCACTTAGGTTTCTTCCCCTCTCCAACCAAACTGACTCCTCCCTACTTCAACCAAGACTGAGCTTTTGGTGCCACCAAGGTGCCCAAAGCCTTGAAGCTCCCACTCCTTTGGAAAGGACCAAAGCACTGGGATGGGTGGGGAGTGGGTCATGGCCATGGTGGGGTTCAGCCCAGTAGATTTTCTCACGACACCACCATGAAATGCTCCTCTCAGACCTCTCCCAGGGCTGTTCTCATTCTGGTTTGACCTGGCAATGGGGCAGAACCCCAGAGGGCAAGGATATGAATGGATAAGCACTTTGATGGCTCCTCTGCGGATGGGGTGGAAGGGCCCCAGCATGTAGAGGGCAGGGGTTGCCGAGAAGCGGAAGATGGACTTCCCTTTGTTGAGGACTATGAATGTCTGTGGAGAAAAGAGAGGAGAGAGACAGGTTAGCCCCTCTGCACACCCCCAAAACATCCATGGATCAAGTGCTGCCACTAAAGGTGGGACCTCTATTCATGCTTTGCATCTCCAAAGGCTTGAGACTTTGCCAAGAAACACATACTCTGCTTTGTAGGAGAAGTAACCACAGCAGTCTGGGGCTGTGGATTACCAAGATGGGACCAAGATGGGCTCAGGACCCTGGGGCATGGTGAAAAGAAGAGGAGGGTCCATGCTTTGGTCTTTTTCTTGGGACTTATATCTACTGCCAAGGCTACCCATGGGTTAAACTGTGTCACCCCCAAAACATCCATGGATCAAGTGCTGCCACTAAAGGTGGGACCTCTATGCATGCTTTGCATCTCCAAAGGCCTGAGACTTTGCCAAGAAACACATACTCTGCTTTGTAGGAGAAGTAACCACTGCTTTGTGGGGCTATGGATTACCAAGATGGGACCAAGATGGGCTCAGGACCCTGGGGCATGGTTAAAAGAAGAGGAAGGTATTTTTGTAGGGACTTCATATCTCCTGCCAAGTCTACCCATGGGTTAAACTGTGTCCCTCACCTTCTTATCCTTGTAGAAAGGGTCCAGGTCCTCCAGAGGGGTCCCGATGAGCTCCAGCGGTGGGTCACCATAGATGAGGGGCAGGTTCTTGCCGGCTTCCAGGTCGCTGCTGGGCTTGATCTCCTCTTCCTCGGGCAGCTCAATTTGCTGCCTCTTTATCTTGAGCGCCTCTGCCTCGGCGATGCGCTGCTCGATGGCAGCCAGCGAGGCAGGGGTGAAGGGGCGGAGGTTCTCGGGGCCCGGGATGTGCGGCAGGCCGGCCATCCTCTCATTCTGCTTCCGGGACGCCTTCACCCAGCCTGCCGGGAAGAGAGGGGCTGAGAAGGCAACACCAGCCGGTGACTTTCTGGAGCATTTTTGCTCAGATCTTGAAGCCAGGGGATGGCACCGAAGATCTCGGTGGGTTTTTTTTGCAAACGGGTCTATTGCAGATGCATTGAACGTGCAAGAGAGGTTACTACACATGGACCGTTTCCAAACGGAGCACCCTGTGTGCTCCTTCTCCTCCCAGACCCCCATTCAGCCTCCCACCAAAAAGCACCATCAGGTTGAGCACCACCATATGAGCTGGGCAGTTGGTGTCCCTGGCACCAGCTGGCCGTTGTTAGACACACAATTTCACAACCTAGACAGGGTTCTTCAACAAAGACCACCCTGGCACCGGTGGCACCGCTCCAGCTGCCTCCCCTTTGCCATACGCTGCTGGGCACAGGCAGCTTTCCTCCTGCACCTTGCACAAGCAACACAGGGTGCTCCAAGCTGAGGTTCCTCAGCCAGAGGAGCTTGGTCCTGCAGGGTCAGTGGCCATTTCACAGCACTGGTCTGTAGGAAACACGAGTAACCTGCAGCGCCGGGTGGCTCTGAGATCTCGGTGGGGTTTTTTTGCAAATGGGTCTATTGCAGATGCATTGAACGTGCAAGAGAGGTTACTACACATGGACCGTTTCCAAACGGAGCACCCTGTGTGCTCCTTCTCCTCCCAGACCCCCATTCAGCCTCCCACCAAAAAGCACCATCAGGTTGAGCACCACCATATGAGCTGGGCAGTTGGTGTCCCTGGCACCAGCTGGCCGTTGTTAGACACACAATTTCACAACCTAGACAGGGTTCTTCAACAAAGACCACCCTGGCACCGGTGGCACCGCTCCAGCTGCCTCCCCTTTGCCATACGCTGCTGGGCACAGGCAGCTTTCCTCCTGCACCTTGCACAAGCAACACAGGGTGCTCCAAGCTGAGGTTCCTCAGCCAGAGGAGCTTGGTCCTGCAGGGTCAGTGGCCATTTCACAGCACCGGTCCGTAGGAAACACGAGTAACCTGCAGTGCCGGGTGGCTCTACTCCCAAGAGGAAGGGGTTAAAGTCTTATCTTCAGCCAAAAAGAAAGGCAATAATGACACTTTCTAATGTTACAGAGATCAGGATGACTCCCCAGACAGGAATAGGATGGGCCATTTGGGAGAGATAAGAGTGGCTCCACTGAGCTGCAGAGCAACAGAAAGGGTTGGAGAGAGGGAGGTGGGGAGAAGAAGGGTGGTTGCACCCCAAGGAGCAGGCTGCTGAGCCCTGAGCTGGGCTGAAATGCCTGGCAAAGGCTTCCTAGACACCAGAAATGTCCTTTCTTTGAGTCACCTTCCCTCAGCTCTGCCTGGATATCTGTTCAACTCATTAAACATCAGCTTGGGTCAGAGATGGGCCCAATATTCATTGTGTCAGAGGATGGGACCAGTCTTTTTTCAGTGGTGCCCAGGGACAGGACAAGAAGAAATGGGCACAAACTTGAACACAAGAAGTTCCACCTAAACATGAGGAGGAACTTCTTTGCTTTGAGGGTGGCAGAGCCCTGGAAGAGGCTGCCCAGGGAGGTGGTAGAGTTTCCTTCTCTGGAGACATTCAGAACCTGCCTGGACTCATTCCTGCCCAACCTGCTCTGGGTGGACCTGCTCTGGCAGGGGCTTGGACTAGATGATCTCCAGAGGTCCCTTCCAACCCCATAGCATTCTGTGATTCTGCACCACTCCATCCCACTTTGCAGGGATACTGGGACAGATGCACTTCTGCACCTCCCCCTCCCCAAAACCAGCATCCCACTGGCAGACGGTGACTCCTCCACGCCCCAAAACTCTACGCGATGCTGAGAAAGCTCTAGGATCGATACTCCTGATGGCCCCAGCCCTGCTGCGCTGAGAGCTGGGAACCTGCAGCCCTTTGTAATTAAGGAGAACTGGACATTTATAGCCCTGATGGGAAGAGAGGCTCTGGGTGCGTAACGGTATCGACACGTTCCTATGGTGATTATAAAACCGAGAGATAAAAGCAGCGGCGAGGGGAGGTATTGATTTCCAGCAGCACAGGATAACTGCATTTTAGACACCACCACCCTCCCTCGCTGCTGAACCGAGCCTTGGTGTGCAAAATGGATTGTCTTCTGCTGAGGGCCGAGGTGGCCTCCAGGGCAGCACGGTGTTGGGGGGGTATTACTGCTCACCCCCCATCACATCCAGCCCTGGGGATGAAGCAGGGACCAGCCCCCACCTGCAACATCCCTTGGGCAGAGACCCCCTTCATCACAGTGTTTGAACAGCCCCATCCCAGCTCCAGCACCAGAGCTTTGAGACGAGACCAAAACGCAGCTGGTAGAGGGATGGGAGTGACTTGCTGCCTTTTAGAACAGGACAACCTTTAAAATGAAAAAAAAAAAAATAAGTGGCAAGAGCACTGATTTTTGTATTTAAATCTGTTTTAGAAGAGGGAGGGTTTTGTCCTTGCTGAACAGCGTTATCTAAGAGGGTAAACTGAGTCACGTCACCGCAAAGAGGAGTCTGGCACTGCCTAAACCCCAGCTTGTGGCCCAAACTGCAGCAAAACAGAGAGCCTGGAGCCACTTTCCCTGGGGGGCACAGCCACATCTCACCCCAGGCCCGCTGGGACCCAAAGGTGGGACCTCAGAGCAAGGAAAAAGTGAGATTTTGCCACCACGCATCCCTACGAGGGGATGGTGTCCATGGCAGCAGGTCAGCAGGGCACCAGCCTTGCTTCTTCTCATCCATTTATTCTGGATTTACACCCATTTCATGCTCTGCTTGAGCAGCTCTGGAAACCTGCCCTTTGCATTCCCTCGATGCTGGTGGCCTTGAAGCTCCAGCCAAAAGCACGGGGCTGTGTCTGACTCTGTCACCCTGAGTCCCACAGGGCATGCACTGACTCCTGCTCAAGCAGGACCCACAGCACCCATGGAGGGACCAACCCACCCCATCTCCTGGGGACTCTGAAGACTCACAGGAGTGTATTGGTCCAGGCAGCCTCGATTTCCCTGGAAATGGGGTTTTGCAGAGTTTTTAGGGCAAGTGTGTGCTACAGGCCGTGCCAGTGCTCTGTAGGGCTCCAACCTCTTTAGCAGCACACTGCTCTCCAAGGCTTCGGTGATAGGGTGCTGCACGATCAAGGTCTTCCCTAGAGCACTGCATGGTCCATGCCTTCCCTGGAGCTTCAGTCCATGGGGTGCTGCATGGTCCATATCCTCCCTGGAGCTTCGGTCCATGGGGTGCTGCATGGTCCATGTCTTCCCTGGAGCTTTGGTCCATGGGGTGCTGCACAGTCCATATCCGGCACCAGCCTTGCTTCTTCTCATCCATTTATTCTGGATTTACACCCATTTCATGCTCTGCTTGAGCAGCTCTGGAAACCTGCCCTTTGCATTCCCTCGATGCTGGTGGCCTTGAAGCTCCAGCCAAAAGCACGGGGCTGTGTCTGACTCTGTCACCCTGAGTCCCACAGGGCATGCACTGACTCCTGCTCAAGCAGGACCCACAGCACCCATGGAGGGACCAACCCACCCCATCTCCTGGGGACTCTGAAGACTCACAGGAGTGTATTGGTCCAGGCAGCCTCGATTTCCCTGGAAATGGGGTTTTGCAGAGTTTTTAGGGCAAGTGTGTGCTACAGGCCGTGCCAGTGCTCTGTAGGGCTCCAACCTCTTTAGCAGCACACTGCTCTCCAAGGCTTCGGTGATAGGGTGCTGCACGATCAAGGTCTTCCCTAGAGCACTGCATGGTCCATGCCTTCCCTGGAGCTTCAGTCCATGGGGTGCTGCATGGTCCATATCCTCCCTGGAGCTTCGGTCCATGGGGTGCTGCATGGTCCATGTCTTCCCTGGAGCTTTGGTCCATGGGGTGCTGCATGGTCCATGTCTTCCCTGGAGCTTTGGTCCATGGGGTGCTGCATGGTCCATGCCTTCCCCGGAGCCTCCCCCTGGGCACTGCCCCTTCAAACCCCCAGCAATGCCCTGTCCCCGCTCGCTGCAGTCCCCGGCGGAGGTGGCTGTGTCTCCAGCTGCCACCAGCGATCACACCAGGAGTCAGGTTTCTCCAGCCCCATGACTCTGCTCATTCCTGCCCCGGCAGGAGCGAGTGCAGGAGGGGAGCTCGAGTGAGAAGCACCAGCTTTGCTTTCAGGCCCGTGTCTCCTCTTCTTCTCACTGGGCTGAAGCCACTGTGCCACGTTGATCTGGCTACTGATGGAGCAGCCCCTGGCAGCACCAGGCACAGGGTTGATGCTGAGGGCTGGCAGCACTGCCCAAGGCTAAGCAGGGGGTCCTCAAGGGGGATGTTGCCCTGGACATGGAAATGCTTTGTGGTTTTTGGGGGTCTTTGGTGGCACCTGGTCCTGCTCTGACCCTTTTGCAGCCACCCAGGGATAGTGTGATGAGCTCAGGGAGCAGCAGCAGAACTTAAGCTTATGTCTGGGTCCCACACACCGCAGCCCTGGAGCCATCAGCATCTCTGGTCGACCGCTGCTTTCCAAAAGAGAAGGGTCCAAGAGCCAAATGTGGGCTCTGCGGGGGGCTCAGCACCCTTCTCTCCCCCGGAGAGCCCAGTTCCCACACCAGCGTGTGTGGGGGGGATGTCCATGTCCCACCACCCCAAGGGATGCAAGCTCACCCTGGGACCAGCCCCTCTGCTCCCGGCCGGGCACATTTATAGCAGCTGCTATAAATAAACCGAAATCAAACTCTTTGTGCCTCCCATAGGTAGAAACCCTTGGGGTGCAGCAGCGGGTGCTGCCCCAGGCACGAGTCGCCCCATGGGGCTCAGCCCCAGCCCTCCCCAGGACATGGGTCCCCTCAGGGTCCCCTATTGAGGACAGGCTCTTGCCCCATCAGCTCTCATGCTGAGACATTAACAGTTGGACTCAATGATCTTAAAGGTCTTTTCCAACCTTAATGATTCTATGATTAAATTAGTCACTTGAAATGTCTCTGCAAAGCTCTGGTCTGCTGTTTATTGCCTTCTTAAATTTGGGACT